TAAAAATTATAAACAATTTATTATATAGCATTTTTTTCTGACACTAATCTAATCCAATACGCAATTTTCTAATTAAAGAAATAATTTTAATTAATTTATCCCACTCCTATGAATAAAGCCTCCATCCAAGTATTTTTTTTTTAATAATTCAAATAAATAGACCGGTTAATTGTTATTTAATTATTTCTGTATGTTATCCCTTCTACAGTTAACTTATACATTTTGAATATGAAAGAAGAAACTGTGAATTTGTATTGCTACTAATAAATAATTAGGTAAGCATGATATTGTCGCTCGCTTATTCTATATCTAAAAATGGTTAAAATATTCGTTGTTTAATTTGAGTTTTCGGTTCACGTACGTTGAAAAAAATTTTCAGTTTTAAAAAAATCCACCTGGCAAATTTTATAACAAACAATCATATTATAAAATTTTTTTCGAAGTTTTACAAAAACTGACCCGGCCGGGTGATGTGAACCGAAAAATCAAATTTGTGTGGCTTTAGATCATCCGGGCTTCAAAAGATCGAGATTAACCTTCTAAGAAATTTTGATTCAAAAATTATTTCGAATCAAAATGTTGAATTAATTTTAAAATGGATAATTATAAAAGTTCAAAATCATTAAAATCAAAATCTTCAAACTAAATTCTTTAAAATTAAGCTTTTTGCATGAATTCAGATTAATGTTTCGTGATCTCGTGATGGATTTAATCCTGATGCAACAATTTTACTAAGTGAAGAACAGTTGACAAGATTCTTGGAGGTATAATCCAATCATGTGAAAATATGAAGAATTTAAAAAATGCTAGATATAATCTAATGATAGTGAAAATTGTATTTTAAATCTTATAACGGGTGGGAATATAATAATTCTGAATAGGTTCTGTCATTTTTGATTTACCAGCTTGGAAGCAATTGTTTTAATTATTGTTACTTTTAGGGGATAAATCGACTAGAGAACTGATGATGGAAGGACATGAAGTAAATTATAAGGTATCGATATTAATCATTGAAATTTACGTTATTTTTATTTTTATTATTTTATTTATTTACTTATTTATTTATTTTAGAAAAAAATAAAGATAAAAGGATAAAAGTAGAACGAAAATTTCGGCTTATATGTCAATAATGGTATATTGTGATAATTAATTTAAGCTTCGCAATTTATTAAGCTAAACTTCTTAGTAATAGGAATTAGACTAATAGATTTATAAGAATGTAAGAAGAAAAGAATTATACCAATAAGTCAAAACAAGTTTAAACAAAAAACATATATTTAAATATTAATCTGAAATATTTCATATTCTTCTATTAAAAACTCATCTTCAGAATTTCTGATAAATCTTTCATAGGATGACTTTTTACAATAACACTTATTAAATGTTTTACCATCAAATATATAGCAAGTTACTCCTAATAATGTAAGATCACTTTCACCAAATGATGGACCAAATAACCCCGAATAATTTATGGCATGCTCTTTATCTTTCACTCTACTTAGAAGATAATCTTCAATATTTTCATTGTTCTTAAAGGAAAATATAAAACTATCGTTAGTAACGCCAAAGCCCTCAGACTTCCATTCAATCGGATTATATCCTCCAAGAATTTCATCTCTGTCTTTCACTTTTAAAATTGCTATAGTATGAGATTTGTTATCGCAATAATCATGAAATCTATAAGCATTAAATCCATCACGAGATCCACGATAAATCAATTTAAATTCGTACAAATTTTCTGCCTTATCTGTAATTTCTAATCTATCAATCCATTTTGAGATTAATTCAGCATGTTGAATTTTAATAATTATCGAATCTATACTTATTGAACCAACTTTTGGAGTAAATTCGGCCTGCTTGTTTGAATTGACTATTGAATTAACGCTCTCTGAACTGATTGTTTTGATCGGTTTAAGTTCGACTGGCCTATAATCATGATTCAAAAAAATTTTCAATAATTCCTTATATAATTCCTTTGGTAAAACTTTCTTATAAGGTAAAACCTTGTCCATAAATTCTTTAGAGGACAAAGTAAAGAACTTAATAAAAGAAATACATTGTTGTAAGGTATTCTTTAAAACATTGAAATCATCTTTTGAAAAGTTTGCAGGATCAGAAGGAAGATCGGGATTTTGAGCAAGTCCCCATTTAAGAACATGTTCCCAGACTTGAATTCCATTCATTTGAAGATCATCATGTTGAATAAGAGAAATCAAAGTTTTCTCTGAAATTGAAGTAAAATCGGGTGAATTAAAAATTTTTTCTGATTGTTTAGAAATTAATTCCGTACAAAACTTTTGAAGTTCTAAGAAAGAATCACTCTCAAAGCTAGTTTGATATATTTGAATAAAATTTTGTTCAATCCAGTCTGCTTGGTTATTAATCAAAAATGATTGTGTATGGGGTATTAGTTCCTGAAGACTTAGTTCACTGGCAGCAACCAAAATTTTAACAATGTAGGAAGCATCAAATTCTTCCAAGGAAAGTTTTCCTCCATAAATATACCTAAAAAAAAAAAAAGAAAAATTGTTTTTTTTAAACTATATATTAAAATAAATATTTATAATTTAATCTGTTCTTACTTTAAAATTATTTGGAAAATTTCGGGTGAAATATTTGATAATTTAATATGTGTTAACGTTCCAATCGTTCCATCATTCTTCTTTTTATTTGTTGATAAAATTTTTCTCAAATAAGAGGAACGATAGTTTAAAATGACCATATGAGCACGAAAAATTTTAACATAAGGGTCATTGCCAACTTCTATTGTAACATCATAAAATTCTTCATCACCTAAAATTTCGAGTAAATTTTGTGATAATTTTGGTAAAAATTTATTATCTGACATAATGAATGAAACGGAAAATAAAGTTTTTTTTGCAGATCGTATCCAAATGTTTGAATTTATAACCAGCCAAATGATCGACATAGTTTTTGTGCAGAATTAAATTATGATGTATTCAGTCAAGAGACGTAGTCGATCTATGTCTGATCTGGTCGGATGATTGACATCTAACTTAATGGCGTATTTAATCAATTTTTTAGCCCGCTAAGTCCAAAACGTCGACCCATAGAACGGTCGCATCCTCTCTCTCGATTTGTACATTACCTCACTTAAATGGAGGATAATTGTCGCCTACCGCCATACTCTCTTGAAAATAAGACGGAATTTCCTAATACTCAAACGGAACTTCTTAACCGACTTAAACTGTCCAGAAAGACAAAATTGAAGTCGTTTTACTTTGTGACTTCAACGACCAATTTGACACCATGGGATCTTCACATGCCATTAATCATCAATTCCTTCACAATCAGGATTTCATTGATTGTTTCGCCAGTGACCCTCTTACCGACAAACCTTTATCCACACATTTTTATTCTCATTATAATGTCGCAAATCTTCCAGAATCAACTATATTTGGCTTTCTCCGGCCTATAATCTATTAATATTAATAATAATAATTTTCTTATTTAAAATTTTAAAACATGATTTTTCATCAGTATAAAGAGTTATAACGAGAAATGTGATAAATATTTTTTCTATTAGTTCTAATAAAAAACTGTTTATGTATCCGAATCTACTTTCATATTGAAAAACTTTATTTCCACATCCATTTATTTCTAGAATAAATGATGAGTATATGACATTTATTATTAATACAGGCTTTATTACATAAATGAGAAGTAATATATTATATTCGTACAATACATGTTCAATATAGCAGTCAATACGAGTCTTCTTTCTCAAAACAAATTACCTTTAATTAAAACTTAACGTGTGATTTTCCAGAAAAATAAAAAAAAATTGGCGTAGCCTTTATATTCTTGCAATAAATTGCAGTTTATTTCAATATGAAAATTTCAATATGAAAACATCTGACGTAATTTTAAAACGGTGAATTGAATTTGAAATAATTTATTATAGGATAAATTATCTTTTTTTGAATAATTTTATAAAATGACATATTTTTACTATAGAAAACTTTAACGTATACAAAATTTTTTAGATATTTTTATTTGAACAAACAAAAAATCATTTATTGGTAATGGAGTACGCTGATGGCGACACTTTTCGAGACTATTTGAATAAAACTTTCCATAAACTTACTTGGAATAATAAATACAATTTAGAATATATTATGACTATATGACGAAAAAATAGTTCATCGAGACCTAGTAATATTTTTTTTTAATATTAAGCAACATGACTGTTCTATGAAAGTTTAACTTTTGTTTATACATTATAATAGCGTTCTTGTAATGTATTGGTTCATCAAATTCCATCAAGTTGACGGACGTTGGCTTATCAAAAAGGAATAATGAAGCATCTAAATAAATATCAAAATTACTTTATATAGTTTTCTAAATGATAATAACTTAGTGCACTGATATAGGAAATATCAAGTAGCAAATCCATTTCAAATGGGAATTATGATTTCAGTTTAATGTATAAATTTCACAATCACCCTCCTAAAATATAAATTCACGAAGCACGTTATCTATTTACGTATAATATTTATTTACAATACCTTCGCGTCAATATAAATTTTAATTTAACTAAAACTAAAACAGAAATCATTAATACTTGATAATTAAGTAGATTTAACTTGATAAATTTGTTACTTATCAATATCTGTTTTATAATTAGTCTAATTTATTTTAGTTAGATTCTAATAAAAATCATTTTAATTATTTAGCTACATTTCTCAATTATAGACGGTATTTGTTACTGATTTAAAAATGTATTATTTAAAGTAATTTTTATATTTATAATTTGTTAATTGATCCATAATTATTCAATTCTTTTTCAAATATAGCGTTATACTACCATTAGTTTTTATTTTAAAAAAATTCAAGAAGCTTAAAAGTGGATTTCAATTTTTAAATTTATAAAATTGTCATGTATTTCTCAATAAAATATCAATAATAGATAAAATAAATAAATAAATAATTTTATTGTAATAATTTACAAATATTACAATGATTACAAATATTGTAATTTATAAATAATAATCAATATTCTTTACGAATTCATAAGCTCTAATAGCTAAATATAATTCACAAAAATTTAGAACTTTAATATTATATAACATAAATTCATTCACTTCATCTTCTAAAGTAGACAAATCTATATTTCCAAAATTCTTAATAGCCAAATATTTGACTCTTTTTTCTTTCATAATAAATTCCTTTATATAATATAAAATATCATCATTACCTTTTTGCATTATTAACAATCTATTAATAAAAATATTTTGAGAATTTTCTAAGAATATTTTAAAATCACTTTTTTTAATAGAAAGAGATAAACTTAAATATTCTAGTTTAGAAGGGAGAATTTGTCCTAAATTTTGTAATATAGTTGAAGTATAATCAACATTATAATTAAATTGATAAATTTCTTTGATGTGAATTGAAAGATAATTAAGATTATGGTTAATACTTTCAATTAAATTTGATACTAGATGAGTAATCTGATTTACAAATCCATATAAACCAAGAAATTTGATATTATTACAATATTTAGTAATTAATTCTAATAATTGTCGTCTTGATGATAAATCATAATCGAATCCAAATACAATGAAATTTTCCAAATAATCACCAGATTTTTGTAATAATAATTCTAATAAATTGATTTGTAATCTCTCTTCTATAAATAAAGACTTTAATTTAAATGGTTTAGTTAAATTAATAATTTGTTGAATAAAGTTACTATTTAAAGAATAACAATAAGTGATATGAACAGATTCTAAAACATTTAATTGTTCAAATATTTTGTCTAAATTGATTATACCATTAAAATTAACTTGATGTAGTATGATCGTATTTAAAGTATTTGAACAATTATATTCTTTTAATAAAAATAATGATTGATAATAAGGGAAACTATTATTATCCAATAAAATTTTCTTAAGATTTTGATGTAAATAAATTACTTGTAATATTTGACTTTTAAGTAATTTATATTCACTAGTACTATTGTTATGATATAAGATATTAGGTGAGCTACTACCAAAATAAAGGTTTAAATTTTTAATATTATGAATGAAATTTGAATTTTGTAAAATTAATACAATAATATCATCATAATATGGTTCATAACTATAAATAGTGAAGATATCAATGTTAAGAGTATTTAAATTTACTTCATTTTCAATGAATGTTTTAAATAATGATATATAAATTAATCTTTTAAAATTAGATTCGGAAAGTATATCTAAATTTTGTAAAAAATATCTATTTCCGGGTTTTAAAGTCCTAACAGAATCTTCAAACCATTTCCCAACAGAAGTAATAACCTTCAATAAATTTATATCTTTTATAAAACTAGTATAATTAAAAAGTGTATTTAAATAAAATAAATTATCATTAATTTTATATATGTTTAAATTTGTTTTAAAATCATTATCATTTAAATTTTGTAAATAAATTTCAATAAATTTATAATTTTTTGTAGGAATTGAAAATGGATTTTCCCATAATAATGGAATCGTTAATCGACACCATAATCTGTTAACTAAAATGCATGAATGTAAAGTTAAAAAATCATTTTGTAAATATTTTATAATTCCATATGTTAATTCAGGTAAATCTCCTGAAAATATTTTTGAACATGACATTGTAAACGAAGAAAGAAAAACAAAAAGGGTATTTGTGTATCATATTTTATTATTATTAAGCCCGATTTATATTAATTTTCGGAATGATGATTTCCGTGTGTAACGTCACTAACGTCGTTAATAATCATTAAGGTTTTGTCGATCACTTGGCACAGTCAAAATCTGTTGTGGCTTAGCCCGTCATGTCAAATTAAATAAATATTTGACAGTATTTTAGTCCAAATTTTTATTCAAGTCCCAAATTTGTAAAATAACCAACTTCGAAGTTTATTGGAAACTTACAAATAAATTCTTGGATAATATCGGAATGTAAAAATCATTTGATATAATCTTTAAATAATGATGCACTCGGATGTAAATAATTCCTTTACTTTTTAATAATCATATGAATTACATAAAGTTTTGATTTAGCTCATCTAGTTCATATGTTAGATTTAATCTGTTCACGCATTTTTTTCCAAAAGAAATTTCTTCATTTATCATTATTAAATAATCTGTGAAAATTTTTAGATAATGAGTGCTATAAATAAATTCATTTCTTAAATATAATAAAGAAAAATTTTAAAGAAAAGATACAATAAAATCAATACATGTTTTAAACCAAAAAAAAACCAAAATATAAATAGACTATGTTATAAATTTAAGTAAGACTATAATTGATAAATTTACCATAATACTTGATATTATATACTAACCAATTGTCAATAGTGACAATAATTAAAAAGAAAAATTAATTTTATTAAAATTTTGATAATTTAAAGTATCAATATCGAAATTAATTTCCTTTGTAATATATCCTACATTTAAATTAAAAATATTACATATTAGGCATATAATATTGACTAAGGATTTCATTTATAGTATATTTAAAAATATTTTTACATACCATTATTATTAAAATTTACATCAATGTCTAAGTTGATTTCTTCTGTAAGATAATCTAAAGAATATGTACATAATTTTGTTAAATTATGAATTTGATATGTATTTACAAAAAGTAATTACCTTCATTTTCATATAATTTTTCTCTTTTAATACTTCGACCTAAATAATTAGTAGACAATGATTTACTGAAGTTTATCAACTAATTACATTTATTTGCAATCGACAAATATCATACCATATTCATTATTATCTTCAATTAAATCATCTTCAACTCTTCTTTTTAATTTTTCTAAATTAATAGATTGACTTTTTGAACTCCTTAAAGACATTGCAGAACTAATCATGGCACTTAAAGGTCTACTCTTATAAATGGCACCTGGATTATTTTTTGGAACAGGTCCAATATCTGATGACTCTATCATGATTACAGTTTGGTTGTTTTTCCAATTTAAATTTCTTTCCTTGGAACGCATTCTACTAAATCTCACGCATATATCAGTAGCTGTTGGTCTTTTACTTGGATTAGAATGCCAGCATTCTTTCATTAATTTAATATAACCTTCAGGTGCATTTGTGACAATTGGTGGTCGTAAACCATCACAAATATCAATAATAAGTTCTGTATCATGATTTCGATCCCAAAAAGGTCTTCTACCTGTCATCAACTCCCACATAATCATTCCAAAACTATATATGTCTGAAGCTTTAGTATATTTTTGTCTTTGCAAAATCTCTGGAGCCATATAAGGAATAATACCATAATTCTCATTATCATCTCCAGATTCAGTTGCAGATTTACTTATACCAAGATCACCTATTGTTGTTTTGTCACTAATAAAATGATCGGTTTGTTTATTAAAAAAGATATTCCCGCTATGAAAATCCCTGTGAATAATATTTAATTGATGTATTCGTTTAAGTCCAGCTACTATATCTAATAAGTTATCTAGCTTTTTTTCCCAGTTAATATTAAAAAAATCTTTGGTGATGTAATGTACCAAATCACCTGAATCATAATATGGCATGATAATCATGATATCTTGAGAATCAGGATCTTGAGTAATTCCGAAGTAATTGCAAATTTGCAAACTATAATATTCATGACCTTTCTTATAAATATCATAAAATACCTTGAGCTAGTAAAATGAAGAAAGCTTATTAATTTATGAATCTCATTAATGGTAAGGATTGTCGATTAAAACAGCATAATATGTACTATACCTCGTTCAACTCCTTAGATGTGATGTTTTTAGAACCATTAATTTTTTTGAGAACAACTGTATAATTTTGGGAACGAATATTTCTTTTTTTACTATAATCCATAACCGGGCCATCAATCCAAGTAGCTTTATAAATTTTACTAAAACCTCCTTCAGCAATAAATTCTATATTTATGAATTGTTTATAAGGAACATATTCCATTTTACCGTTTTTTTTAACAAGATTAATTTGTGTATATCTGATAAAATCATCAATAATTTTGTTTCCACTTGAGCCGTACTTGTATACCCTCTTTATTTTGTAACAAACATGACAAATCTGATGACTTTCATCTGAAGGTTTCCTTGTATTATTACATTCGGTGCATTTAATTTTTTTATATTTTGATTTAACAATGGATTGTGTTGGTTGAATTAAAGATGTATTGCTCGATAATAAAAAGTCAATTTTATGTTTATAGTTTGTTAGTTGTTCCATGTTTTTTTTTTATAAAAAAAAATGAGTTTTTTAATTTGAGTCAAGGAAAACTGTTGTCTAATATATACGTTTTAAATTTAATAATTAAGCAAGAAATTCTTTTTTTCGAATTCTATACACAATTTCTAGAAGTCTTCTATGGGAATACGATTTTCTAAGAAATATTTGCGAGAATTCTACGTAACAATCGTATCATGCAAAGAATTCTGTAGTCATGCATGATGTTGCGTAACTGCATAAGTATGTGGTACAGCGGAATGGAATTCTATTTTAGAAATGTTCTGCAATAAGTAAATAATTTCAAACACGTGAATTATTACTTACTTAATTTTGATGTTTTGTACCGTGGCTTTGTTCACATGGAATTTAAAAATTAAAAAATGAATTTTTGATATTTAAAATTATAAGTCTTGACCGATGATATATTTGACCCTTATAAACAATCTATTTTTAATAAAGTATCATTTAGAAAAAGAAATCACAAAACAATGAAGTTAGTAAATAATATAAATAGATCGAAAAGGTCTTGAAGAAAAAAAAATTTTGATAAGGAATATGAATAAGATAATAAAACAATTCAAGGAAAAAACAATTATTAAAGATTTATTCAACAAAATATTTAAATATAATATTATATTAATGATTAAAATATCACAGTGATTATGTTTTAAGTTATAGAAAATTGTATTTCTCCTTCATAATTTTGCTTCAAAATTTGAAGAAATAAACTCCTTTCTCCTCTTTAATTACTGACGCGTGCCACTTGTCACATATAATTAAACACCAGTTTTAATAACATTTTATATGTACAGCTACATTAAATTATTTTTTCCAAAATTAATGCTTTAAAGCGTAGGTAAAGGAGCGTAAAAAATTATTGAAAAATATTAATCATCATTATGGATTTAAGTAATATGTAAAAAATGAAACTTATTATTAACCAATAATACTGTAAGATGTTTTTTTGCTTTAATTTTATAATTTTATAATAATGTGTTTTCTACTAGTAGTGGAATTCTATAAGAAGTATTAAAAGAACAAATTATTTAATTTTCGTAAGTTTATTACATTATAATACCAAAAATTCTATTGACCTTACCAAATATTATTGTTTCAATCGTACAAGCCTGCCTGATTGTCTGAAATAGGAATACCGTATAGCGCTGCATACAGTACCCCCTTGTAATAGTACCCCCTTGTAATAGTACCCCTTCAAATAGTACCGGGGTATTATTCAAATTCCTAATAAAAAAAGAATGTCCGGAAATTGTAGCTAAAAACGTCCGGAAAATGTTTATTTGTCTGGAATATGTCCGGAATATTGCAATATTCCGGACGTTGGAAAATTTCCATTTTCCAGAAAATGTCCAGAAAATGTCTAGGAGGGTTTAGACCCAGCGTCCAGAAAGTGCCCGGAATATTGCAATTTTCTGGACGTTTTCCGGACACACGGACATTTTCCGGATGTTTTTAGCTACAATTTCCGGACATTTTTTTTTTTACAGGGATTCACATTCGGGTATTTTTGAAAAATACCCCGGTACTAATCAAAATTCGATTTTGAATAGTACCCGGATACTAATCATATTCCGACTTGAAAAACTAATCTAATTGTAATAAAATCAAATGTACCCCCTTCCAATATACCCCCTTTTAATAGTACCCCCCGGGTACTATTCAATCTAAGCGGACTTTCTTGAATAGTACCGGGTACTATATGCAGCGCTATACGGTAATATATATTCTCCAAATTGTCAATTCATCATCCAATTTTCGTGATTTTTCATAATAAAACGTCAGTATTTATTTAATATCCAAAAACTTTATCTTACGATTTAAAAATATGAAAAGTCACTTAAGCAATTAAATAAGCACTAATAATACTTGCTAAATTTTATATTGCATTTATTTATTTAAAATAGGAACATAATTGATAAAATGTTGTTATTACTGCTTATATTGTTTTACTGTATATACTGTTGTTACTAATTTACTATTTGATACTTATGGTGTTGTTAATTACTACTTATAAACTATTTTTCACTATTTTTTTTTGTATTTTTATTATTATACAAAATTTTAATAACCAAATCCATATATGGAACAGTTTTTTCCGTCAAATAAAGTGCTTCTTTTTTCCATTTATCTTCATCCTTAAATTTGCCTAATAAAGGTACTGCTGACCTCTTCAATAATATGTCAACCCATTTTCTTGCTTTTTCCATCTGCTCGAGATTAACGCAATATAACACGATATCAAGGACAATCCAATTAATGATTCCTAGATAAACATTTTTATATGAATTGTAAACCTCTTCTAGGATAGAAATTGCCTTTCTTAGGTTTCCATTTTTACGATAAGCAATTGATAGACTTCTACTGGGTTCTAATGTATCAAATTCAAGTCCTGGATGTTCTTTTCTAAGATTGTGTAATTCAAAAATAGTCTTTTCTAATTTTTTAATAAGAGAAGGATCAGGTTCAGGTTCATCTGCTACAAGTTCGAGTAATTTTTCAACAGTATTAAGTAATTGTGCTCTTTTATGTGCCGTCTCTGGTGTTTCAGATTTATCCAACTTACAAACTCGACATTGACAATCTATACCAACTGATTTAAGAAACATTGATCGGTTCTCATAGTCATGTGCACCTCTTCTGTAATTAAGAAGTAGTTCTTCGCCTTGTAAAATAGGTCTAAGAGATCGTATAAACATTAAATCTCCAAGAAAATATTGTGTAACATTATCATCAACACATGAATGATTAAAATAAGATGGCATAATCCATAATCCTTCACCACTCAAATTAGAATTTCCAACTATAATGCCATCCAAACTAAAAGAATTATAACTGACAATACCTCCAATTATATCAACATTTGCCGGGTTCATGTCAATTTTATCTAAATTTAAGCTATTGTAAAGTTTGTACACTTCTTGACAATGATAAGGTTCTTCCATAAGTTTCTGCGTAATGCGGTATATTAATTCCTCAGAATATAGGTCATTTTGAATATTATTCTTCGTAGAGTACCCAAGGACTTCATGATTATATACTATACTAAATGCCTTAGAGACCATCAATAAAGCATTTTCAGGAATATCCCGTTTTGCAACCCATCCTCTTCCTTTTCCTTCTACCAAACGAATTTCAATATCTTCGCATAAAAAATCAGCATGATCCAATCTTGCTCCTACCTCATGGACCCATTCGTCATTACCTTTACTATCTTTTCTAATTTCAGCTCTTTCACAACACTCATCGAGAATACTTATATAATCATATTGCCCATTTTTATTTTCAGAAGCTAAAATTTCCGCTTGTTTCAGTAATTGTTCTATACTCTGCTTAATTGAAGAGATACTATCATTTGTACTGGATTTTATACTTTGATGCAAATCTTGAAGTGTAATAATGGCTTCTTCATAACGTTTAAGACCACAAAGAGCTTTACCTTTGCGAAAAGCTGCTTTTAAATGACTAGGTTCATATTTAAGAACAACTTCTGTATCATTTAGAGCATTATAAAATTGAAATAATCGCAGATATGCCTCTGCTCGGTTGGCTAACAATGTGACATTTTGTGGATTCAATTCGATGCCACCTGAATACTCATCAATAGCTGCCGAGTAATCCTTTGAAGCAAAATAATCATTCCCATGACGACGGAATTCATCAACAATCTTTACTTTAATTTCTTTCTTATCCAATAGGTCGGAGGACCATATTAAGTTACCAAATAACTTGTCATTATTATGATCAATGATAATAATATCTTCAGGATTATTTGAATTAATTATGGTGTTCCTATCTGCAGCAACTTTATATGATAAGTTTTTGATAACGAGTTTGGTGCCTACTGGTAAAAATGATTGATCAATAGGTCGACTAGCCATCTGATCTTCTTTGTTTTCTGGTAATCTTGTCCAATTGTATAAAGCAAGTCGTTCCACATTACCCTCTGGATCTTCCACAAGAGCTAAAAGAGCACTTATTTTCATAAATTTGGTTATCACTCGACATAACAAAAATTTTTCGGGGAATTCATGATCAATTTGTAAATTTGCTATGGATACCCGATGTTGAAGATTTAAACTTAAATTGGGTTGACTGCGAACGTTATGAACTATATAATTATTTTTATCATAAAAATACTTTAATTTTTGATGTTCTTCAATTAATCGTTCCCTGCTTTTTTTTTGCGAAATATTACCAGTATTTAAACGTAGAATAACATTTTGCAATATATCTATTGCTGGTATTTCAGTGTCTGAAAATTGGAGTTTCATATTGGTTATAACAGTTGAGAAATGACAAATTGTAAAAAAAAAAAATATTTTTCTTGGGAATTTTTTTTTTTTCAAAAAAAAAATGATTATTTAAAAAACTGATTATTATTTTAAAAAACTGATTATTATTTTAAAAAATTGATTATTATAAAAAAATTGATTATTATTTAAAAATTGATTATTATTTAAAAAAACGTAAAATCATGCAATCAATTACATCATGGAAGACCGTAAGATTTCTTTATAAATACTAATTAAGGGGTACAGTAGCTCGAATTTATTATAGTTGGCGTAACTGATAACAATGATAAAATATTATTATGATAATTTTTAATAGTTAAAATATAATTTAATTTGGAATTGTTTAAATCATTAATAATTATCCACGAACAAATGAATAATCATTCAAAAATTAATATTCTCACGTATGTTATATATTTAAACAAGATGGATAAAAAAAAAATTTAATAAAAAGTCTATTATTATTAGAATAAAAAGTCTATTGTTAGTTAAAAAGGTATATTAATAGTTTTATGATAATAGTAATAATTATTTCAAGATTGCGCCGTGAAACTCATTGATAACTATTAATATATGAATTGATAACATCAATTAATGGCTGTAATTTCCATCAACAATTCGTTCACAACGTATTTTTCTATTAATATCTAAATAATAAATACTAATAAAATATATTTAGTGACAATTAAATCACGAAATTAAAAATTACCATCAATACGATCAACAAGATCATAAAAATTCATGTGGTAGATCACGTGCAGAAAGGAATAATTGTTGACGACACAGTCAAAGCTGTAAATGTGATTATATAATTTATAATACAATATAATTTATAATTTGTTGTATTAAATCCGACTTCTTTTTAATTTATTCATATAATGAGAATTCAAAGTGATGATTTTTTTTCTTAAATACAACGATATAAATAATGACTTTAATTAGTAAATTCGGTATATCGTTATTTTATTTCAACTATGGAATTCTCGGATATTAAAATTTTAAATGCTTACTTGGCAACAAATGAAAAGAAAAGGATAGGACTTAAAGAATTATAGTGAATTAATATTTTTATTATGTTATAAAATATCTAATGTCGTAAACAAAAATAATGCATTTAAAAAAATTGATGTATCATTTGTTTTTTGCAAAAATATTCTTATTATAATCATAACGCTTGTTTTTAACTTGTTTTTATAAATTATAGTATTTATGGATGAAATTATCCTTCATGTAAAGATCATTTTTCATATTTGAGTTACCTACTTATTTATTATTGTCTCATTTTTTTTTATCAATTCATTTTATTTAATTTATTATGATTTCATAATTTCAATTTTAACAATTATTAATAAATTACGATGAATAAAAATTTATTAAACAATAACAATTTTTTTAATTAGGGTATTTAAACAAAGAAATAAAATCATAGCCTTAGATAATAATCGCTATAATCCCCTTTTTGTTTTTTTTTGTTTTTTTTTGCGTTGTTTAATTAGGGGAATTAATATGGTAATAATTAGTTAACAAAAAATAATAAAATAATATGTATAAAATTATATTTGCAATAATGTAGCCATTTATATTAATGATTTGACGAGTGTAGAATGAAATTCGGATTAATTAAAGAATTGTGAAAAAATAATTATCAATAAAAATTGATTAATTTTTTAGAAGTATTTTCGAAAAAACTTTGATATTATGAAAATACTACAAATATTTTTATTAATTAATTATAAATTTTTATAATTATTTCTTATTATTTTATATTACGACAATCTTAAACTTATAACTGACTTAGGAAAAATATTTGAAAAATTAAATGTATTAGAATCTGTTCATTTCACTTATTATTATTCTTTTGATACTCATTTTACTCGATAAGTTATTAATTTAACTAAATCATTTGAATTAAAATCTTTATCCAAAATTCTCTAAATATTAAATCACCAGATTTTTGAATATAGATTTGGTTATAAGAATCTATTATTAAATTAACAATTTTTTCAATTAATTAATTATAAAATATTGTAAAAATATCAATTTTTTTTGATTTTTATGAATTTGAAAATCAAACTATTTATCCAGCGTTCAATTTAATTAAAAAAAATCTTAATTATCTTTCTATCAACGTCGGTCAATTTTCCTACATGTTATATTCATTTTTTTTAAAAAATAATAATTTTGTAAATATATTTAATATAATATTTTATTTCTTTATTTAATAATAAAAAAAAAAAGAAAGAAAAAAAAAAAAAAATTAAAAAAAAATTTGGGGAAAGAAAAAGGATAAAGAAAGAAATCGGTTTAAAAAAAGGGAAATTTCCGAAAAAAAAAGGAATCCGAAAAAAAATAAGTGCCGAAAAAAATTCCGAAAAAAAGGACAATAATTCGGTCCAAAAAGAGTGAAAAAAATAAATTTTTTTTAAAAAAATAACAATACGGCCTAAAAAAAAAGTTCAAAAAAAATAATATAAAACAAAATCGGTCTTAAAAGACCGAAACAATAAGATTATTTAATAATAATTTTTCAGTTTGGGAAAAAAAATCAAATCTAAACGAGAAAAGAATGAGAAAAATCAAATTTTTCGGTTTGGAAAAAAAACTAAACCGAAAGAAAAAAAGGGAGAAAAAATTTGTAAAATTTTAACTGAAATTGGATTGGTTGATTGGAATGCACACGGATCGAGACCATAAATAGATTAGGCGGAGGCATGTCACGCGTTTTAATTATATGTTCAAGTTACACAATTCAAATTATTTATTCGCAGACAAATTTTTTTAGTTATATAGATTTAGCAAAATTATTCAATAATTGCAAGATTGTGAGATAAATTTTACAATAAAATATTTATTAATATAAGTAAACTATTAATATGTGTGTAGTTAAAAAAATAAATACTATTCTGACTTTCAGAATTGAGTAAAAAAATATTTTATATGAAAAAAATACGTTATTTTAATGTTTAATTCATCAGAATCTCGGGAATTTCTAATTCGTCCTGTTCCTTTGAATGAAGGTTTGAAGAATTATATGTTTCATAATCATCTATATATAATTATTATCCAATAAGATTATGTAAGTATAAATATTATTAAGGAAAAAAATTATTTACTTACTATCATCATCGTCTCTAATATAATTTCTTTGCATATATTGAAATTCAGCTTCATTATTATCATAATTTACTAATTTACATTAATTTACAGAAAAAAAGATTGATTATGAAATAAAGTTTTTATTTATTATTAAAATCAAAATTATGTACTAGTTACCTTTATTATTGTATAACTTTTTAGATTTAGGCTTGTCTTCTATTTTAGACAATAAAAACAAATTAATAAATAAATTTGTTATACATGAATTTATTAGTATATATTTATTAAATTTGAAATTCTTACCAATTAATTTCAAAGAATTTTTCTGTTCAGACGTTTGTTTGGATGCAATAACTTAAAATAATTAAATAAAATTTTAATAATATTAACAATTAGTGTGCATATACTGTATTAATAAATACTTACTTTCTGGAATACTAAGATCAAATTGGACACTTCGATACGCTAATAATAAACCATTTTGTTACATTTAGTTTAATTATGGCATATAATTTATTTTTATTATTACCTTCTAGTTCTTCTACAAAATATATAAAATATTATTAAATTTCATAAAAATTTGAAATAATATGAATATGAAAGAAAGCAAAATTCATTACCTTCAGTAGCATTTCTTGGTTCAGATAAAATTTCAAAATTATATATTTTACTTTTAAGATTTTCAGAAAAAGAATTAATTGAACTTGAGCTTACACTGGAATTGGTATTTAATTGATTATTATTTATATTTTTACTATTATTTATTTGTTTTTCTATTCCTTCATTTTGATAAAATAATGTACTAATTTCTCTTATTTTTCGCAAAAGCCTACTAACGTTAGGTCTTTTTACTGGATCAGCATCCCAACATTGTATCATTAAATTTTTATATTCTAAAGGAGTATCTGATAATATCTTTGGTCTCATACCATTTACAATGTTCATTGCCAGATCATAATCCTTATATCTATTAAAATAAAAGGGTGGTTTACCGGATGAAATTTCCCACATAAGCATTGAGACACTATAAATATCAGATGCAAGAGTAAACCCTTTTCCAATAATTACTTCTGGTGCCATATAAGGAAGATTACCATAGATACTTCCTAGTGGTTTATCAATAGGACCACAAAATCCGAGATCACTGATATACCAATAATTATTATATTGTGAATACAATATATTTCCGGAATGCAAATCTCTGTGAGCCACATTCTCGTTGTGAATACTATTAAGTGCATCAATTATTTTTATTGTAATTAAAATCTTTCCCTTCCACGTAAGTTTATTAAAATTTTGTTGCAAATATTTTCTTAAATCCATATCCATTAAAGACATTACAAGAAAATGAGCATCATTTAGTGGATTTCGCGTTATACCATAACATAATGCTACTTCTACCCATTTGATACATATGTTCAAATGTAATGCCGCCTATATAAATGTTTTCAAAATTTTTATTAATTATTCAAAAAAATAAATTTATGGTTTTTTTTTGATCACTTACCTCTTCAAACCAACTTCTGTTCGCACTTTCAATGTTTTCTAATTTTTTAAGGATTACCTTATGTTTTCCTGATCTTATTAATTTATTTTCTTTGACATCCCATTTAATATATCTTCCTTCTATCCATTCAGCTACATAAATTTCAGAACACCCACCTTTCGTTAAATATGTAACATTTTGTAAATGATCATATGGTATCCACTCAACTACCAAAATTGGAAAAAATGTTTCCTCTTGACACTTTCGTATTAAAGCATCAATATTATCATTTCCAGATGTCCAATTTTGGAAATCAGCTTTTAAATAATTTCGCATACAATTCTCACAATAAAATGTTGCTAAACATTCTTTTTCACAATTTTCACATAATCTTTTTGTTCCTTCATTAAAAAGTATTTTAAGATAATCATAACCTTCATCTAATCTTTTTATCGTTTCAGATTTTTCATCTTCCGTAAGAGTTTTATCATCTAGAATTAAATTTTGTCTAAATTGATGTTGTTCACATAATTTATTGTTATAATCTGTTAATGAAAATGCTTTGTAAAGAGTAGCGTGAATTATTTCTTTACGAGTAGTAGAAATTTTAGTGTTATATTTAGTGAAATACCAATCACCCTATGAAAAAAGTTTGTGTGATTTTTGTTGAAAAATCATTCAATTAAATTCACTACGATTTCTGTATATTTGACCATACAATAATTGTGCTAAAAATTGCAATAAATCACACAATTATTGCATGGTAATTCATTCAATAATTATCCTATTTTTGACCTGAATTTATACAATTATTGTGTGATATTTGAGCCAAATTTTTTTAGGCCATATTTTAGGAATTATAGGTTAAATTTTACAGTAATAACAGGCAATTTATAAAGTGAAATTATGAATTTTTTTTATTGACGTAAAATATAAAAAATATACACAATATTTCATAAATAAAATACTAAATTTGATATAATCATAAATATAAAAAATTGTAAGAAAATAAAATAAATAAAGTATGTTAGTAACATGAAAGTAAATTAGTATTATCAAAGAAGAAAGTAAATTATTAGTGTAAGTAAATTATTAGTATTAAATAAAAAAGTATGAAGTTAATGAAGAAAGCAAATTAGTAGTGTTAAAAAGTACTAAATTATTAGTGTTAGTAATAAAAAAGTATGAAGTTAGTGAAGAAAGCAAATTAGTAATGTTAAAAAGTAAATTATTAGTATTAGTAATAAAAAAAAGTATGAAGTTAGTGAAGAAAGCAAGTTAGTAACATTAAAATGTAAAAAGTTAGGAAAATAAAAGGATAAAGAACACAAGTTTTTCTTACCTGATATTTTAAAAGAAAGTTGAAAAAAAGTTAAAAGGTTAAAAAAACATAAACAAAAACATTTCGCGTCATCATATTTATTTTGACGATCAGATCACGTGATCAACATATATAATTTTAAGAGTTGATTTTTACCGCATAATTCTGGCAAAATTATAATTCCGGTCAGAACTAATTGTGTAACCTAATAAAAAGTTTTTGACTTTTTTTTAGTTACAAGATGATACAAAAATTTCACCAATGGGTCCAGAAAATGCCCATTTATAAGCAAATATGCAGTTGAATTTTATGTAACCTTACTGCATAAATCACTTTACTTAGGAAAATCTATTTGTAATGGTTAAAAGTGGTCTATTCGACCCTAAAAGTGGTCAAATGTAACCATACAGGTAAGATGGAAAGTAGTATAGTAGGATTACCCAAAAATTGCTTTCTGTATCTTAAATTTAAGTCTATTTTCAAGTTGTACAATAATCACAATTTTTATTGTACAAAAATTGAATGTTTTCTGTATCCTAAATTTAAGTTGTATAAAAATCACACAAAAATTGAACATTTTCTATATCTTAAATTTAAGTTGTACAAAAATTGCATACTTTTAATATGCTTTGAAAAACTTCATAACTATTTTTATCCAAAAATCTGCAATAATTGTACAATTTCCACACGGACTTGAACAAATATTGTACAAAAATTGGATGATTTTTTTTCATAGGGTCAGTATCCATGTTATAATAAATTGTTGTAAGTATTCAATGTGTAAAAAAATTTTTTTGAGAAGTTTATATTAGAAAGCTTTTTTTCATCATCGTAATAAAGAAATTTAATTGGAAAAACCGTTATTTTTATTAAAGACGCTAAAACAACGAAATGATCGGCCTAATGCAGTTACCTTGTGTTTTAATTATACGAATGTTATACGAATGACAAAGAAAAATTTTCTTTAATAAATCAAGTGGAACACAAATAAATATTCTTTACGCTGTTACTTTTTTTTACATATACGGTAAACAAAACCAAAATAACAGGTGTTACCTTAATACCATCTTTTGAATTTTTTGAGTATCACCTAAAATTGTTTAGCGTAGTCTCATTCTGCAATTATTTCGGAATGAATGAGACAGTTTCAAGCAAAAAGGTTTCTTAATCTGCTGATTACATAAAAAGCCCATAGCGCCAGAGAGACCTTGAATGAGATAGAATAATTTGCTAAAAGTAGGCTTAATTTGTCTTACAAGGTACTAATTACATCGTCTAGTGTCACATACATGTTAGCTTTAATATATACTATTTATTGTATTGAATCCTGGTTTCAAGACAACTTAATATATAGCGATATAGCGATGGTCACCTCGGACCGAAAATGGTCATCAAAATGATAGTTTAAGGTCGGTTCCGGATGGTTTGATCTACAACACCACCAATACCAAAAAAAAATCCAGTTAATTTTAAGTAAAGTAAGCTTAGGCTACTTAGCTCAGTATGGCATGATTTCCCGACATCTATTTTTCAAATGTAACCTTTTCCCGATAACAATTTCCCGACAAGACAAATTCTTGAATGGACATTTTCCTGGAAAGAACTTTTCCCGACATGATATTGCCTCGACATGATGGCAATTTCCCGAATTCAAATTACGAAAAATGATTTACAAAAATACTTGATTTTATTGCGAAAAAATAAAAATAAAAATAAATTTTTTTATATAATAAAACTTTTTAATCAAGAGAACAATATAATAAAATAATAAATATCCATAAACAAATACGCACAAAATAAATGACAATAAAAATATATTAGAGATCATTAATATACTACTAAGTGTAGCACAAAGTAATTAATCCAAAAAAAAAAAAAATATGAAACTTTTTTGCTTTAGAAGTATAATAATATGTTGATTTTTTCATTAGTCCGACTATTTATTGCATTAAAATATAATATTTCGTTGTAACATTTTATCCTAATCTAATACGTATTATTTTAGATAAATTGAAAGTTTAGGTATAACTTGCATTTATTTAGGAAATCTGAGGACATAGTTTCAAACTCAATCTGCATGTTATTATTTAATACTAAACACGAATAAAATATAAATGGAAGCAAAAACTTCTGAAAGTTCGTTTATTGGATTACTGTATTATGTTACTAGAAGTTATTAGATGATCCGTTAGACGTCTGGATGATTCAAGTGCAACAATTGCGTAACAACAATTGATATTCTTTAAATGTAGCGATTCTTTTAAGATTCCGATCTTGTGATGAGTAGCTTTTGAATGATTTAAGTATTATAGGAATTGATTACTTTTTTATTTCAAACATTTAATCTCATTAAGTCTTATTGTTATGCCAATAATTTTATTAAATTACAATTTACTTAATACTACTATTTTTTTCATAAGACAATAATAAAAGTAAATTATCAAAACCAGAATTCACAGATTTCTATCCGATCAAACTTAAAAATAACATAAATATGTAATTGAAAAATTAATATTCAATATGCAAATATACCTTGCTCAATTTTCATTATAAATATATCCTCAGTTACATTATTTTTAAATTTATTAGATTGAAAATATTAAATTCTTTACTCTTTACAAAATTGAAAAGAAAAGTTCAAGATCTATCAATTCCAATTCCTCAATAAAGATGCAATTAAAAAATTGCCAATAAAATTTAATATTAAAAATATATAGGAAAGAAATTGAAATAAAAATACATAAAAGGATTTAGATGAATTTAGAATTTTTTATAATTTATTATAGTAATAGAGAACTATTAAAATTTTTAAAGGTGTGATACTTAATAATATATTCACGATATATATTTCCTTAAATTCTATTATCAACATTTTATTTTCCAACAAATTGTTTGTTAAGGAAAATGTAACAATATAATCATCTACTAAAAAAGTTTTATCTGCCGTTTAGAATAGTCTCCATATAACAAGGGGTCATTTCCATGGGGAGCTTGGCATATATCTAGTAGAAGGTCTTTAAGTGAAAGTTATTGCAAAAAAATGACATCATTTTTTTTAAAACGGCATGCAAAATGTTGATCTCTTTTTATAAAAATGTCCGTTCTAGGAACGATCTGATATTTTTTTTCAGGTTGGGTCAGGCCAGTTGGGTCGGATAACCTGGATAATATAGTTATTGAGTATGGTCATAGTACTGATAACATCATGAAATTTTTAGGTAGATGCATTAGTTCAGAAATATGTGGATTCCCATATATTCTACGTGGATCTACGGAGAATTTTGTGGATCTACGTCGAAAATACCATGTGTTTCGTCACTGGGTATTTGGAAAATATTGGACATGTGGATTTAAGTGGAAAAAATTTCCTGATGAAGTAGGGTTGGATAATTATCTATATACTCCAAAGCAAAAGGACTATAATATCTAATCTTAAAAAAAGACTAATACAATGATTGTTTGAATCGATGCGATTGCATCATTCATACAATTACTTAGTGTACTTGCTCTGATGATTTAGTACCATTTATAATAAAAAGTTTTTAAAATATATTAATTTCAAGTTTGGTTGATTTATAGAACAGTTTAAAAAATAATTTTAATAGATTATTAATAAAAAATAAAATGATAAAAAAAAAGAATGATAACAAATGATTACTACTAAAATTTAATTGGCTATTAGTCATGTAATTTAAACTAACTAAACTAACTAAGTAACCTATGTTATGTAAGCTCCCATACATACAAATTGTCACAAAGATAATTAAGAAAAATAATTTAATGACAGTTTGGATCAAACCACCAACTAAAAACATCACCATGTATATGATAACAGATATCTCCATTAAAATTACCTCGGTCTTTTTTTTGCCTGGTACTTCCTTGTACTTCTGCATGAATCCAATAATTAGGTGTATTAGTAAAAGTAATGTTTAGTTGTGTATGTTGATCACATTCGTGGTAATTATAATCACCAGCTATTTGATTATTATTTTGATCTGTTACCCAAAGTCTACACCTAGTACCTGCTATCATATCCCTAGTTATCGAGGCAGTATATGTTACATATAAAACCAAAAAAAAAATGAATTATTAGAAGAGAACAGAGAAAATACTGAGTATAATAAAAACTTTACCATCAGTGACCGAAACAAATGTTATGCAGACACAGATGAAGATGGCAATAGGAAGGTAAAAGCTTTGAAGTTTCATATTGGTACTAAATTTATGAAGTTATGTTTTGTTTGTTTTGTTATCTTACGGTAACGATTCTGAAAAACAAAATTTTGGTGGCCATGGCAATGTTATATATATTCGCTTACATAAATAAATAATGATATTCCTGCTAATTTAGATTATTCAAAAAAGTTAGCAGCAAGCTACCATGTTTCTTTCTGTTTATTTAAACCATATGATTTATCTTTCTGTTATTCTAAACCATATGATTTATCTTTCTGTTATTCTAAATCATATGATTTATCTTTCTGTTATTATAAACCATTCTGTAATAAACAAAAAAGTTCATACATCCTCCTAATCGAGGGGTTGTAGTATTTTTATTTGATAAATGAAAAAACCTCCCTACATTCCAAGTATCTGGTTACAAATAGAAATGTTTCATTAGAGACGTTTTGTAAATAATCAATAAACCTCACTTGCCCGGCTTTGTCAAAACCAGCAGCATATCTAAAATAAATGAAATATTTTGTTAGGAATTTTTTTTAATAATTAGCAAAAAATAAAAATAAACAAATTCCTCACTTACTCACAGTCATAACAACCGGATTAATCAAAGCCAGTATTCCAGGAGTATTTCATTAAATTTAAAATTCACCTTGGTGAACTTCCATGTGCTGATTTACATATTTTGAATAGTGATATTACGAGATGATCAGCAGATGCCAAGACAAATTCTTGAGTGGACATTCCCCTAAAAGCATTTGTTCTCGACATGATATTGTCCCGACATGAAATTTTCCCGAAATCAAAATCAAATTATTAAAAATGTAACTTTGGTTGAGTATATAGTATTTAACAATAAATAACACATTATAACTGGTAAATCGCAAATATTTAAATTTTAATTAGTTTTTTATTATTAACCCATTTATCAAATAATTCGATAGATTTTTTTCGTGCTGAAACGATGATCATATCGTGGAATGTATTAGATCATTTACAATCATATCTTGATTAGATTTACATTTTTAATCAAAAAAAAAAAAACCGAAAAATACAAAAATAAAAAAGGAAATGATCTCCATTTTTGATCTTTTTCGTAAAAAAAATTATTTATTTTATCTCTCTATATATCCAAACTTTTTATCAAAAAATTCATAAAATTCACTTCGTAAGTAATTAAAAAAAATATATAGAATCAAATGAATTTTTTCCTTAATTAATAATTTTTAATTATTCTTTAAACTTTTTTTTTTAAAAAAAGTGATTAATCTTAAAAAGGAAATCATTTTTTTTTATTTTAAACTAGTAAAAAAAGTTTTAAATTGATGAAAAAAGAAAAGATTGCAATAAAAAAATATTTGACTAATCTAAAAAGAAAAAAGAAATATTATTTATAATATTTCAAATTAAATAAATTAGACAATATTCCTAAACTGTAAATAGTGCTCCGTACGGGTTGGGTCAAACCCGGGTGATCGACCCGATCCGAATTTTTAAATCGAGTCGGGATTGCTGTTTTGCACATCTAAAATCTGTGACAGGTTACGCCGAAATGTGGCGCAACTGTCAAATGATCTGTCTAGCTGTACATAGTTGGGCACGCGATTTTGTGATCTGCCCAATAGCCATTCGCATGATCGTGTTGCTTTGATAAGCCCTATTATCTCCTTGTGAAATATTTTTTTTTTTGATTTTCTCACACACACTCTTTCCAGGAAGAACGATTAATTTTCCCTCAATTTAAATGTGGTAGTCTTTTATAAAATTACTTAAATACTCTTATATTAGCAGAGAAAAACTACTAAAAAACTATATACTTGATTTTAAAAAATTAAAGTTTATAAAAAGTTACACAACTTCGTGAAACAAGTATGGAAAGCGATAACAGTGAAGTGATAACACTACACAAGTAAGTCAATTTTACACTAGTTTCGTTACTTTTGAATAGTTACTTTTCAAGATTTTAGAATAAGATTTGTATAAAAGAGAAAATAAAAAAAAAAAATTCCAGATTTTTGGGTTAACTTTATTTCGTGAAAATATAATATTTATATTGTTATATTATTTTAAATATTATTATATAGAATGTTGTGTACATTTGTTTTTTATAAGCTTTTTATTAGAGTTTACCGTTTATTATATTTAATGTATTATCTTTACAATGCATTGTTACTATAATTATAAAGCATTATAAACATTCATTTTATCATTAAAGTATTAATTATAAAGCATCAATTTTTTATTAATTTGCAGATCTTTTCCTGGGAATCACTACCGGAAGAATTAAAACCTGTTCTTCCCCAGTATTACACGTATCTGATTCAAAATTTTGAAAATAAGCTATCATATCGAACATATGAAGGTTTTGAAGTTCCAAATTTTGAGTTGGACGCGTTTGTGAATATAAATAATGAAGAAACAGCATCTGAGTGGATTAAAACATTCAATCACATTCAAAGACAACGATGGCACAAACAAGGGGCTATAAATCAAAGGAAATCGAGTTATATTTTGAGAAATATATCATTGCATTCACAGTCATGATGTAAAAAAAAAACAGGGTAAAGTTGAGGTGAAACGTTCTCAATCATCCCGGGCAAGAGATACATCCTGCACCGCAACTATCCATATTCGGTTAGAGCGTAAACGACTCCTATTCACCCATCCCTTAGAAATTAACTTGAAATATACTCACAATCATGTCACTGCATCTGATATTTATAGTATTGCAATTCTTATGTGGGAAATTTCATCTGGACAACCACCATTTATAAATTATGAACATGAAAATGATATTGTAATGAATGTTATTAACGATATAAGACCAAAAATTGTGCCAGGAACTCCATTAGAATATAAAAATTTAATGAAAGAATGTTGGGATGCTGTTCCATTAAAAAGACCTGACGTTTATGCACTTGAGAAAAGAATGAGAAGAATTAACTTAGATTATCAAAATATGACAGATGAATTATTCAAATCAGAAATGGATGAATAAAGTAGAAGAAAATTATACGAGTAGCAGATTATTTACAAGTAAAATTCACAACTTTGAAAATCTACCTGAACCAAGAAATGCAACAGAAGGTATAAATAAGTGTATAATATTTTATTAGCGAATGTATTTATTTTAAAACATATTATTAATGTTGTCTTTTATTATAATAGAAGAACAAGAAGGTATAACTGTATAAATAATAATTTCTACCATTTTATTTGGCTACTAAAATAATTTACTTTATATTACTACTAATAGCGTTTCATAGTAAATTGTATAAATTGTATGATTTTAACATTCCTAACGATAGTAAGTATTTATTAACATTACAGCGTGATTTTAATAAATCAAATGAGCAGAATAGTTCAAAAGTAATTACTACTTTTGAATGTAATATATTTTAATTGTCAATCAAGATTGAATTTTTATATTAAATCAATATCTTAAATTTTAGATAGTAATGAAAAATTATCTAAATTATTTAAAAAGTTGCAAATAAATTCAAATGGTAAGAATAGTAATAAATTACTAACAAATAAAGTTTCATTATTTATTAAACGTGACTTTTATTTAAATTTAGATGATGAAAAAGAAATAACTCAACAACAAATAAAAAAGAAAAGTATTAATGTCGATGGTAAGTGAAAATTTTACGTAATAACAAATAATTTTTATACCATTTTAATTCTATTTATTTTTTTTTTCTCCTTATAGATGATGACGAAGTATATAATAATCCAAATTTTCATTCAAAAGAGCAAGATGAACTGGAAATTCCTGATGGTAAGCTCTTAAATTAAATTAGGAAAATAAATTTCTTTATAAGGCAAATAATTAATTTATAATTTGTTATTTTTTAACTTTAGATGGATTTTAAATTATTTAAATAACAATTTTTTTATTTTATATCTTAAATTATTATCATTATTTATTTATTTTGAATTATTTAAACACTAAGACTAGAATAGTAAATGTTTTACAAAATTCTTAGTTTGTAATTTAAATAATTTTAATAAATTTATTCAAATTATTAAATGACCTCATGTGCACACGTTCTATATTAAAAAATTTGTTTTTAATTTTTTACAATAACCTCTTGTTAATTCCATAAAATTTATTATGTATTTGCACTAATATATAATAAAATACATAATTCTCATAATAATTAATAAAAAACTTTTATTGTAAATTACTTGATGCATCAAAATTCTTTTTCTATAACATAAAAGTAGGAACTCAAACAGCCTTAAGGTTAAGCTGTTTCAAGAAAAAGAACTTTAACGTATTAGTTAGCATCTAATTTAAAATATACAATTAAATTAAGGTAAATTATAAAACTATTTAACTAAACGAATTAGATAAGCATGATATTGTCACTTATTTTTTATATCTAAAAATAGTTAAAATGTTCGTTGTTTAATCTACTAAATTTTTTTTTTTTTTGGATCATAATTTTAGGGCAACGCTAATTTGATTTTTCGGTTCGCGTAGCATTGAAATTTGAAAAAAAATTTCAATTTTAAAAAAGTTCACCCGGCAAATTTTATAATAAACAATGCTATAAAATTTTTTTCGAAGTTTTGCAAAAATTGACATGACCAGGTGACGTGAAATCAAATTTGTGTGGCCTTAGATCATCCGGGCTTCGAAAGATCGAGATTAACCTTCCAAGAAATTTTGATTCAAGAATTATTTCGAATCAAAATGTCGAATTAATTTTAAAATGGATAATTATAAAGTTACAAAATCATAAAAATTAAAATCTTTGAAACCAAGTTTTTAAAATTAAGTTCTTTGTTTGGTTCAGATTAATGCTTCGTGATCTCGTGATGGATTTAATCCTGATGTAACAATTTTTGTTTTAAATCACATGGCAAGTGAAAATATAATAATTTGTTTTTACCAGCTTGGAAGCAATTGTTTTAATTATTGTTTTTTCAGGGGATAAACCGACTAGAGAAACTGATGATAGAAGGATATGTAGTAAATTATAAGGTATTGACATCAATTTATGCGCTTCATTTCATTTTTATTTTATTATTTTATTTATTTATTTATTTATTTTAGAAAAAATTAATTAAAGATAAAAGTAGAACGTAAACTTCGGCTTATACTGTATGTCAAGTGGTATATTGGTTTTAATTTACGCTTCGAAATTTATCAAGCTAAACTTTTTAGTAATAGAAATTAGACTAAGGATGTAAAAGAAGAAAAGAATATACAAATAAGTCAAAACAAAATATTATTAAACAAAAATATATAACTAAATATTAATCTGAAATACTTCATAGTCTTCTATAAAAAACTTATCTTCAGATTTTCTGATAGGTTTTTCATAGGATGACTTTTTACAATAACACTTATTAGCTCTTTTACCATCAATTATAAAGCAAGTTGCTCCTAATAATGTAAGATCACCTTCACCAAATGATGGACACAATTTCTTTGAAAAATTTATGGCATGCTCTTTATCTTTTACTCTACTTAGAAGATAATTTTCAATACTTTCACTATTAGCAAAAGAAAATATAAAACTATCGTTAGTAACGCCAAAGTTCTCGGACTTCCATTCAATCGGATTATACCCTCCAAGAATTTCATCACTGTCTTTTACTTTAAAAATTGATATAGTATGAGATTTGTCATCGCAATTTTTATGAAATCTATAACCTTTAAACCCATCCCGAGTTGCACGATAAATCAATTTAAATTCGTACAAATTTTTTGCCTTATCTGTAATTTCTAATATATCAATCCATTTTGAGATTAATTCAGCATGTTGTGTTGTAATAATTATCGAATCTATATTTATTGAATCAACATTTGAAATTGATTCAATCTGTTTGTTTGAGTTGACACTCTCTGAACTGATTGTTTGGATCGTTTGAAGTGCGGCTGGCCTATAATCATGATTCAAAAAAAATTTCAATGATTCCTTATATAATTCCTTTGGTAAAATTTTCTTATAAGGTAAAACTTTATCCATAAATTCTTTAGAAGACAAAGTAAAGAATTTAATAAAAGGAATACATTTGTGTATGGTATTCTTTAAAATATCGAAATCATCTTTTGAAAAGTTGGCAGGATCAGAAGGGAGTTCAGGATTTTGAGCGAGTCCCCATTTAAGAACATTTTCCCAGACTTGAATTTCATTCATTTGAAGATTATCATGTCGAAGAAAAGAAATCAAAGTTTTCTCTGAAATTGAAGTAAAATCGAGTGAATTAAAAAAATTTTCCGGCTGTTTAGAAATTATTTCAGTACAAAACTTTTGAAGTTCTAAGAAAGAATCACTCTCAAAGCTAGTTTGATACATTAGAACAAAATTTTGTTCAATCCAGTTTGCTTGGTTATCAATCAAAAATGATTGCGAATGGGGTATTAGTTCCTGAAGACTTAGTTCATTGGCAGCAACCATGATTTTAACAATATACGAAGCATCAAATTCTTCCAAAGAAAGTTTTCCTCCATAAATATATCTAATAAAAAAAGAAAAATTATTTTTTTATGAAATAGTTGAAATAGTTACAATATATATATTTATATATGATAATTATATATTAAAATGAATATTTAAAATTTAATCCGTACTTACTTTAAAATTATTTGAAAAATTTCAGGTGAAATATTTGGTAATTTAATATGCGTTAACGTTCCATCATTCTTCTTTTTATTTGTTGACAAAATTCTTCTCAAATAAGGGGAACGATAATTTAAAATAACCATGTGAGAACGAAATATTTGAACATAAGGGTCATTACCAACTTCTATTGTAACATCATAATATTCTTCATCACCTAAAATTTCGAGTAAATTTTGTGATAATATTGGTAAAAATTTATTATCCGACATAATGAATGAAATGGAAAATAAAGTTTTTTTTGCAGATCGACAGATCGTATCCGAATGTTTTGAATTTATAGTGTTACCTGCATCACGTGCTGTTACACAAACTTTTTTGTCCGAATTAAAAAATTAGAATACAGCATTTGTATAGTATATAGTACCAATTCTCATCCTACTATTTACTTTACATTATAATGTATTAAGTCAAGGGATTCCTACTCTATAAAAAATTTTATCCGTTATTTCTGTAAAAACTCCGTAAAAATGAGCCTTTCACAGATCCATTCACGGAAATAAAATGTAAATAATTCGATAAATTCCGTGCTATAAGGTTATTAATTCCGGAAAGATGAGCTTTTACGGAAAAAGATGGAATATAAAAAACGGATCGACTTTTTTTACAGGGCTATAAAAAAGGAACATTTAGAAAACATACATAAATAAATGTAAAATATGCAACATACATAAAATGTCTATAGAATCTATAGAATGTTCCATAAATATATAGGAAATATACAAAAATGGATTACTGTATACAAACGTACAAAAAATATACATTAACATTGATACTGTCACTTTTGGGTTTCGGGTACCATTGCAATTTACCATTGCATTGTAAACGGCTTATGAGAATAACTGGCCCATTTACTGTTATATGAAATAGGTATATATGAAGACATTCAAATCCTCAACACTAAATTTGTTAAAAAGCATAATTATTCCATCACATAAATTTTCTACACGGTAATTTCCTAATAGTATCTTAAAATTATTAATTGAATCATTTACATAACGAGATTTCTTGATACCGTCACATTTTCCATCCTGGGAATATTGTAATCAGCTTTCTTTTTCCTTGATATGGCATCGACTTTCGTCAACATTTCTATTTTCTAAATTATCTAATTTCTCCATATTTCGGGATTTTTCACATACAATGCGAAAGTAGTTATTTATTTTATTATTTTTCACAATACTAATTGTAGCATGTATTAATGTATTCATCATAGTAAATACATTACATCAACATCAATAATTGTTAATTTATAGTAGTCAGCAAATACATTTTTCGGAATCTTTTATTGAATATGTAAATACAGTATATAATTTTTAACATACAGTATATCTAATCATTAAATATAACGATATTGGTGATTTTAATGAAATGAGCGTTGCTAAATTCTTTATTTGAAATAGTCTGTTCAATTATACTTTTATTTACGCAACAAATCTTGGTTTTAAAAGCTGCGTAAATTTCGAATTCAATAATTGGAGAATGTAATCGCGAAGAAGAGTAATTGGATATGAGTGAAAATTAGTGGCACATTTCATTTTCTAATCAGTAAAATAATAGTTTGTAAGCGCTATTTTTAGATTAGGTACGTAGTTTCAGGACTCGGACAGACATGTAATGTCGGTATAAACGACCAAATTTCGTTTTAAGTGCACTTGAATTTTTTTTGCAATTATTTTTCTAACGACCGGTTTTCAAAACTTTTTTGCCATGACTGTCATGACTTTTCAATTCATAATAAAATCGAGCATATATAATGTTCATTAATTTCTTACCCAATAAAATTTATGATAGTGCAAACAAGGTACATGAATTAACATAAAGATTTTACATATTTTTAAAAAAATGAAATCATGATAACTAGTTTTATGAAAGTCAGTTTTTTATAATCAAGGGATAAAGTTAATTGTTCTTAGGTACAAAACTATATTACAATTATTCACCTTTTTTATACATAAAAAAAAAAGATATTAAATAGGTGAAAGTTAAAACCGTAATTCTTTTTTAAAGCAATAGGAAATTCAAGTATAATTTTTTTTTTTTGCTTGTATTATTTTGTTATATTTTTGTCTATTAATCTAATGTTATATTAAAATCAATAAATTGTATATCGTAATGTTCCCTAATGTGATATTTATAAACACTATTTTTCGATGCCGCTGTATTTGAGGTATATTTGATTTGTTTTATAATTAAGGCTTTGAAATAAGTGAGAATCATCATTTGATATGTAGAGCATTAATTCTGCAATTGAACTTACTGTTACTTGTTACTGTATAATCTTCGATCATTATTTAACTACTTGGAACTAACGGTAAAATGGCTAAGAGATTTAATGATTTCACGTTGTAACATTTTTGTATTAGTTTTGAAGCAGAGCGAATTTAAACCGAGAAACCTAAAATTTTCTATTTATATTGTTGCCAAGAATGAAGTGGAGTCCAGGTAACAAATACTAACAAAATTTTTTATAATTCTAAATACACCATCATTCAAAAAGTAATCTGTAATATTCATCATTTATAAATGGTCAATTTTATCGAAGCATATTAGAAAAAGACAAAAAAATTGCGCTAAATAATATATGAAATTAAAATATTATTCACCATAAACTGAGCTTTATGAATGATTTGGGATGTTCTCAACCATCCTTTTTTTTATAGAGCTGCGCTGACTGGCTAAAATTTATCATCAACCCTTGTACACACTCTTTACACCATGAATTTCCCGAGATTACTTCAAGAGATCAGGCATTACTAGCTGATTTCTATTGAAAAAGTGCTCGAGAGCTCTTGATCGGTTCAATTATTTATGAAATTCAACATCACGGCCAAACAGACATCTTATCCGAAAATGTATCGCGAGTAATTCATTATTAAAAGTTAATACTGTACATGATAACATTAATTTATTTCTAAAACATTATTTAATTTTTAAATAACAAAATTTTAAATTGATAGAATTATTATTGAACATTGACGAAGCAAAATATTTATTTAAATTGTAAATGAGGAAAAAAAAGTTCAAAGTATCAACCTTCAATTCTTCAATTTAGTATTAAAACCAAGCTCTAAAGCTTTTCCTGCCGAATATTCAGCCAACTCTCGGGAGCTGATTCCATAAATGCTGTTACGGATGATCGGCCGAATCTCCGAGACGAAAAAATTGATCGGGACTACACTTGTTTCAAGATCCATTATCTCAATGTCTAATAAATCACGGTCACCTTCTGCTTCGCGAATACTTTCGATATTTTGCTCAATACCTGCAAGTAAGCTTCCTACAATGGTACGATATGAAGTGGAGACTGCGGTACCTTGCACCTGTTGGCTGGCCAACCCGGCTAAAGATTCTAACCTTTTAATCGGAGAGAGAATTAAAATTATTTGAATGTAAATAATGGAATTGAATTTTGGAAATCTTACAATAAACAAGTCGAGTTAATTGACGGATTGCCATATTTTCTCAATATCTGGAGGATTTCTTTCTCAAAATTATCTACTTCTTTTTCCTTCCTCGCAATTTGTTCATCTATATTGCTGAGTCGCGTCTCCTTAGTAATTTTTGCTCTCTCGACTCTCTTTTTTGCCAATTTTAACGTTTCCGTTAGAGATGCGAGCTCTTTCTTACATATTGATTCATATATTTTTTTTTGATCTTCTTGACAGTCAATTTCAGATATTTCTTGTTTGACAATCATTTTTTGCTTCCGTAAAACTGCCAACATATGAAATTTATTATTAGAGTCTAAGTTTATTTATGAAAAATCTTGATATAATTATAAGTTTCAAACCATCAAGATTGTTATTCATGAAATGGAAAAAATTTCTGATTTTGGTTGCAGACTCAAGAGCTTGTCTTTCAAGAATATCCCGATGCTCTTGGAGTATTTTCTTCTCTTTCTGAAGATCATTCTTCAGGTACTCATGATCCGTCAATTGTGATTGATAGAATTCCATTTCACCAATAATTTTGGCCACTTCTTCATATCCCATAATATCCTCCATGAATATTCTTTGCCTTTCATTTTCAAGATTTTCTAGTTCTTTCTTACACTGAGCTTGTTCATTAACCCAATCTGGGATAGCTTTGGAACCCGAGATATTCATAAAAACAACAAGATTATTCTTGAGCGTTGAAACCTTTTGAGTGTCAAGCTCACATGTCTTGTATAAAAGGATTTTTAACCTTTTCTCGGGAGTTTCTATGCAATGGAGAAACTTATCAAGAGGTTTATTCTGAAATTTCTCATTTTTGGCGAATTTTACGAATTTTGCAATTCCCTTGGAAAGTTGTTCCATAATGCCAGTAATTTCTATCAAATTATTTCGAATGTTTACACTCTCAACGAGAATATCGGAAAGTTGTTGAGGAATTTGTTTACTGTTAAGAAATAAATAAAGTATTATATAAACGAACAAACGTTAAAAGGACTAATTGACAAATGAATAACTAACATTTCTTCAGATAAATTTTTTCCGTCTTCTTCCACGAAGGCAGTATGAGAATGAACGAAAAAACAAGTTCTTATAACATTCATTTGGCTCACAACCAAATCATACATCGGGTTAATCAAGCTAAATTTTTTTACATTGGCATTAAAAGGGTTTTGATAGGGAATTTCGACCTTGGTATCTTGAGATTCTTGTTGAATTTTCAACTTCTTTTCAAACTTTTGAATAAGTTGGTCATTTTCATTATTTTCATCCATGGGAACAAAAAAATGAACTTTAAATGAAACTGAAAGCTTTGGCCAAGGAAAAAGAACCAAATCCTACTTTTATAAAATTGAGACAAAACGGGCGTATTCACATGTGGATTTTTTTAATTGATATACTAAACTATGGCGGATAAAATTATTGGAATGAATTACACAAATTTGAATTGTGGTTTGCTGACTTATTTATTTAAAGAAATGGGTATTCCCGACTTTTTAAAAAAGAAAAAAAAAATTGTATGAGCGTTATTAAATATCTATTTTTTTATAAGATGTAATTATTATATAAAAATTGATTTATTTATTACCAATAAGTTATTAATAAGCAATTACATATTTTTTTTATATATTACCCGTCCAATTTTTTAACTTTAAATGGAAAAACTTTTGTGTGACTACATGTATATTCTATTAATTCAGGTATTGTATTTTTTTTTTCTTTTAAAAAAAGGTCATAAAAAAAAAATCTTGTGGCGAAAAGAAAATTTATAATTAATAATTTTCATGATAATTTATCATAGTAATTACTGTTTACCATTATCACGTTCATGTTTTATCATTTCCATCATTTTCACCAGATTCATTACGTATCATGTTCATCATTTCACCACTTTTTTTTTGTCATTTTATTACTTTATTAGGAAATTAAGAAAATTACAAAAGATCTACATTATATAACATTTCCGGATCTAAAGTTCTAAACAGATCCTTATGTTAGCGGATATCCAGTTTTATTTTAGATTATCTTTCGCACCGGGACCAATGAGTTTGTTTAAATAGAAAATTTTAGTATTATATAAATTATATTGAGAATTGGTAAGGGTCTTCGATCACGCGGCAGATTTAATATTTTTGATTGGCCAGATTGGCCACATGATCGTGTCATGTTAATTTGTTTACCGAATCTCATTTTCGTTATAGGTTCGAGGTTCGTTTCCTGGGTTCTTTCGGTCTCGAGGTATTTTTCTTTTTTTCTTTTTATTTTTATTTCTAACTTATATTCTTACACTTTGTTTCTTACTAGCTCTATTTCATTATATTTAGGTCTTTTAGTCCTTCCAGTTCTGCAATTAAGGTTCGGTTGTTTTTCGATTTATATTTCGTTTCTTATTTTTTATTTTTTTTATTTTGTTTCCGTTTCATATTTCGTTTTTATTTCATTTTTTTTTAGATCTTTTAGTTCTTTCAGTTCTACAATTAATAAAGGTATGTTTTTTATTTTTATTTTGTTTCTATCTTATATTTCGTTTCTTACTAACTTCAGTTTTTTTTACTTTATGGCTTATTTGTTACTTGGTTTCCTATCATTATCTTTTGCTACCCAACCTCCTATCATGATCATTTTTTTATTTTTGTCTCATCATTTTTCACTTCCTATTACTTCTCATTATTCCATTCTTTTCGTCTCTCATTATTTTCTATTATATCTTTTCATTTTCCATTATTTCTTTTTCTCTCCTGTTTACTTCCCATCATTTCTTTTTGTCTCTCATCACTCCTTTTCGTCTCCCATCACTCCTCTTCATCGGATAAGATTATTTTGAATAAATATGTTTGCAAAAAAATTTTTTTTTTAAATATCTTTTGCGATAAAATTTTTGGTTTGAGAAAAAGATGAAAAATCTAAAAAAAAGGAACCAAAAAAAGCTAAAAATATTTGAAAAAAAAATCGGACAAAATAAAATTAATAATCAAAAAAAAATTCCGATTGAGGTAAAATTTCATTAACTGAAATTGGATTAGTTGATTGGTTTTTGCGGAGGCATGTCACGGGTTTTAATTATATGGGATTCCCATGGAATTTCAGGAATTTATCGGGATCTGTGCAAATTTTACATTAGTAATATCTGATATTGTACAAACCTCATAAAATTCGCGTAACGGTTAATTAACCCCATGGGATTTCAAGTTACACAATTCAGACTATTTATACATGCTAGTCTAAACGTTACGGTTACACGTGTATTTTTTTAGTTTTAAGAAATGCTAAATGCCAATCTGAACAAATGTAATAAATCTTCAGTGTTCCACTGCATGAATTATAAAGTATTAAAACGCGTCGCGACCGTCGCGTTAATCTCATCATTTTTTTTTTTTTTAGTATCGTATTACTTGTCACTATTTTTATATTTTTGACGATATGGCACAACACCAAAGTAGCATTACTCCCTTTTTGATTTCTCCCCCAAACGTACCACCTAATGAAGATTCTATCCAACCAGTAAGAAAGAAAAAAAAAATTTCAAGGAAAAAAACTAGTTGGATATGGGAGCATTTTATTGAAGGACATACTGATAATGATGAACCAGCCATTATCTGTCAAGTGGAAAAGGAAAATGGTACGAAATGCAATGTAAAACTTAAACATGATAGTAGTGGAATTAGTCATCTATGGTCTATTCATAAAATGACTAACAATGGAAAACAGCCAGTATGAATATTTATTATTTAATTAAAAAAATGATGATTGATACTTATATTTAATAATTATGACTAATTTGTTTTTACATAAATTTATTTTATTTAATTTATAAAAATATAGGATAAACAACAAAAACTCAATGTAACTGAAAAATATTCAGAAGCACAGCAAGATAGACTTCGTCAATTTCTGGTTAATTGGGTTATTGATGATTTACAACCTTTCTCAGTTGTTAATAGCCCATCATTTCGTATTTTTTGCAATGAATTAGACCCTGCGTTTTTAATACCAGAGGCAAAATCTGTAAAAGCAATGATTCATCAGGCATATAATTTTACGTATCCAAGAATGATAGAACAAATTGGAAAAGAAGCAAAATCTGTTGCATTAACAGCAGATCTGTGGACTGGCAGAAATCATAAAGGATTTCTTGGAATCACATGTTCATATCTTGATGCAGATTTTATTCTTAAAGAAGTTATACTTGCTATAGAATACGTCCGATACCCACATACCGCAGAACATATAGCTGAATGCTTTGAAAATATCTTAAAACAGTGGAATATAAGACATATCACGACTACAATCACAACAGATAATGGCTCCAATATGAAAAATTCTGTTGAATTGTTAAATGGAATTAGTTGGATAGGATGTTTTGCACACACATTACAATTGGTAGTGGGTAAAGGATTATATGTAGCAAAAACCTTGATATTACGTGTGGAACGTTTGATAGATTTTTTTATGACGACTAAACAATCCAAAAGACTTGAAAAGATTCAAAAGGAGCATCCTTCTCTTGCTAATAATGAAGAAGGTGATGAACCTATAGTACGTATTATTACTTAAATTTAAATTATTTATATTACAAAATTACAATAATTATTAATTGCATTTAATTTATTTGTCTTAGGATGCTGCTAAAACTTCAAAATACCTCAATGCTATTGCTGACGTTTCTACCAGATGGTATTCTAGTTATTTGGCCTGGCGTCATCTTACCAAATTAAAAGGATATATTAAAGGATTAGTTAATCATCTTGAGCTTGAATCTGATCCTGATTCCCGAAAGGATGCAAAGCTACTAAAAAATATAATGATAAGTGATGATGAATGGTCATTAATTTTGGATTTAACCGAAATTCTTTCTCACTTTGCAGATGCAACAAACTATTTGGGAGAAAGTAAATATTGTACTTACAGCAGCATGAATCCAACTATTATAGAGATCATGAAATGGGTCCGTCCATCTTCAAGTAACAATGGCCTTACTGATATTGATGTTGATAGAATTAATGATGCTTTTGGAGAAGTTTCTGAATTAGAAAAAGATAGAGAAATCAATACACCTGTTGATACTTACGATCTTTTAGATCAAATAAAAAAAATTTTATATGGTGCATTGATTCATTACTTTAATCCTACATCATCTGAAGCTCTTTTGGCTGCTCTTCTTGATCCACGGTTCAAAAACTTACATTTATTTACACAAAACCAAAAGCAAGATGCTATAGATGAATTGCAAAATAGGTATAGTAAGATGAAATTGGAACAATCTACTACTTCAACTACACCTCCAGCTCAGCCCCGAAAAAAAAGATCATTGTTTTATGCTTTTACCAAGTCATCAACATCAACAGCCGAAAATGAAGTGAATGAATATTTAGCATTGGACGAGATTCCATTTGAAAGTGATCCATATGCTTGGTGTAATGATAGAAAAGAAAAGTTTCCGGTTTTAAGTCAATTGGCTAGAAAGAAATTAGGTATTCGAGTAGCATCTACTCCTTCAGAACGACTGTTCTCTGACGTAGGGAATCTGTTAACTGTTGAAAGAACAAGAATGAAACCTGAGTTATTTAGTCGTGTTATGTTCTTGAAACGGAATGGTCACCACTTTTCTAGTATTCATCCCCACCTCAAAAAATAATAACTCCTATTGATGTTATTAATGTTTAAAAAATCTTTATTCTATACTTTACAATAAAATCAATATAGCTAATGTTTTCAGTTTTTGAAGAAAAAAATATTATTATACAATGTAATAAATAAAACTATAATAAAAAAAAAGTAAAAACTATCGTCAATTATTCGACTTTAGATATTAAATTCGCGGATATACAAACATCTGCGAAGATCACGGATTAATTCGGATGGATATCCGGTTTCGCAAAAAAAATATTTTAATAGATAACCGGATATGAAAATTCTTTAACAGTGCGGATTTATTTTATCCGGATACTAGCCGGATACAAACACTATAAATTGACACTTAGAAAAAATAATAAATAAATCACATCACAAAGTACATTGGACGTTAATTTACTAAATTTTTTTGGATCATAGTACTAATTTTAGATCATCAGAGTTTCAAATGATCGAGATTATCGAATCATAATGTGGAATTAATTTTTAAAATGGATATTTATAAAGTTTTAAAATCATCAAAGTCAAAATTTTCGAAACTAAATTTTTTAAAATTAAGTTCTTTGTATGAATTCAGATCAATTTTTCGTGATCTCGTGATAGATTTAATCCCGATGCAACAATAAAGATTCTTAGAGGGTATAATGACTATAATCCAGTTAAACGAAAAAAGCGTTTAATAATGCAAGATATATTTACACTTCATTTAATAGTAATTATAGTGAAAATTTTGTTTAAATCGCATAGCAAGTGAAAGTAGTATAATAATTCTGAATACGGTTGTTTCACTGGCTTGGAAGCAATTGTTTTAATTATTGTTATTTTTATGGGAAAATCCGGTTAAAAAGTTAATTATAAGGTACTGATATCAAATTTTTTGAAATTTATGTTCGTTTAATTTCATTTTATTATATTATATTATATTATTTATTTATTTATTTTTTTCAGAAAAAAAATAAAGACGAAAGTAGAACGTAAATTTCGGCTTACATGCCAAAGAATATAGTAAAATTTTACGATTTTATCGAATAATAACAATCGAAATTTAATTTCGTCTAGAATTATTTAATTAAATTAAACAAGTCACATAAAGGTATACTGGGAAATTTAATTTACGCTTTGCAATTGATCAAGACAAACTAATTGGTATAATTCTTTTCTTCTTTATATTCTTATAAATCTATTAATCTAATAATTTCTATTACACAAAAAGTCAAAAATAAAATTTTAAACAAGGAAACATATAATTAAATATTAATCTGAAATATTTCATATTCTTCTATAAAAAACTTATCTTCGGTTTTTCTGATAGGTTTTTCATAGGATGACTTTTTACAATGACACCTATCAAATTTCTGCACTAAATCACCACCACTAATCATTATAACTTCGGATAATGTAAGGTCACTTTTACCAAATGATGGACCAAGTTTCTTCGAATAATTTATGGCATACTTTTTATCCTTCACTCTACTTAGAAGATAATCTTCATTATTTTCATTATTCATAAGGGAGAATATAAAACTATCGTTAGTAATGCCAAAACCTCCAGATTTCCATTTAATCGGATTATACCCTCCAAGAATTTCATTACTACCTCGTACTTTAATAACTGTTACGGTATTAGATTGATTATCACAAATGTTGTGAAATTTTTCAGAAGTCAATCCATCACGAGATCTACGAAAAATTAATTTAAATTCATATAATTTGTTTGCCTTATCTGTAATTTCTAATCTATCAATCCATTTTGAGATTAATTCAGCATGTTGGATTGTAATAATTTTCGAATCTATACTCATTGAACCATCTTTTGAAATTGATTCAATCTGTTTGTTTGAATTGACTATTGAATTAACGCCCCTTGAACTGATTGTTTTGATCGTTTGAGGTTCGGTTGGCATATAATCATGATTCAAAAAAATTTTCAATAATTCCTTATATAATTCCTTCGGTAAAATTTTCTTATATGGTAAAACTTTATCCATAAATTCTTTAGAAGACAAAGTAAAGAATTTAATAAAAGGAATAGATTGTTGTAAGGTATTCTTTAAAACATTGAAATCATCTTTTGAAAAGTTTGCAGGATCAGAAGGGAGTTCAGGATTTTGAGTGAGTCCCCATTTAAGAACATGTTCCCAGACTTGAATTCCATCCATTTGAAGATCATCATGTTGAATAAGAGAAATCAAAGTTCTCTCTGAAATTGAAGTAAAATCGGGTGAATTAAAAATTTTTTCCGATTGTTTAGAAATTAATTCCGTACAAAACTTTTGAAGTTCTAAGAAAGAATCACTCTCAAAACTAGTTTGATACATTGGAATAAAATTTTGTTCAATCCAGTCTGCTTGATTATTAATCAAAAATGATTGTGTATAGGGTATTAATTCCTGAAGATTTAGTTCACTGGCAGCAACCAAAATTTTAACAACGTACGAAGCATCAAATTCTTCCAAAGAAAGTTTTCCTCCATAAATATACCTAAAAAAAAAAAAGAAAAATTATTTTTTTTTATGAAATAGTTACAAAATTATGTAAACTATATATTAAAATAAATATTTCTAATTTAATCTTTTCTTACTTTAAAATTATTTGGAAAATTTCAGGTGAAATATTTGGTAATTTAATATGTACTAACGTTCCATCATTCTTCTTTTTATTTGTTGACAAAATTTTTTTCAAATAAGGGGAACGATAATTTAAAATAACCATATGAGAACGAAATATTTTAACATAAGGGTCGATACCAACTTCTATTGTAACATCATAATATTCTTCATCATCTAAAATTTCGAGTAAATTTTGTGATAATATCGGTAAAAATTTATTACCTGCCATAATAAATGAAATGGAAAATTAGCAGATCGTATCCGATGTTTGAATTTATAGGGGTACAAATATATCACTGCTGTTACACAAATTTTATTTGTCCTCTATTAATACAACATTTGTATCGGTTCGGATGATTGTCATTCAACTTATGGTTAGCTCAGTTTACTGGAAACGTAATTAGGAGTTAGGAAGTTAGCAAATATTCTGGTAAAAATGCCGTAAGACTCGCTCACAAATTATAAATAAACAATTAAACCCAAGGTAGATGATAAACTATTAACTATTTATTTATAGAAAAATAGAAGGAATTTGTTATTAGGCAATTAAAGTAGCGATAACTTAAGTTATTTGACTCTACTAATTCCTTATTTTAACATTATTTTCAACATTTATCAAATGATTCGAGATATTTCCTCATTACATTTATCTCATCATTACATAAATCTACTTCTAATCCACTAAAATTTTACAAACTGATCATTACGTGACATCACATGTACATTTTGTAACGTTTTAAAATCAATTGTAGTAATAAAATACTTTGAAATGATAATATTAAGTAATTGATAAATTGAAGTTTTTATTTTATTTTCATAATTTCATATTTTTTAATTGTTAATAAATAAAAATTTGTAATTATCAAATATTTATTATTAATGTTAATAAAAAGATTTATAATTACTATTATTATAATAATTATTTAAATTAATTCATAAAAAAATCTTATTTAAAAACAAAATTTCATAATTTCCATTAATTTTAAAATTCAATATAATTTTCAATTCTTATAAAATTCTTTTTAAAAATTTTCATCATCATTTGAAATATTTAAACTGATTTAAAGACGTGAGTATCTTATTTTTAAGATTTTTTTTTTGCGAAGGTCTCTTTCTTTCAAGCGTAATTCAAAAGGATTATTATCAATATTCTTTTGGAAAAATAATTACTCGTATTCCGAAGAAACGATCAAACTTTTAAGGGAATAACTTTATTAGCTGCGCCACAAGATTACAAAAAAAAGAAGTAATAAATATGAGATAACCAAAAATTTGTAACTTTTTATTAGATATTTTATATTTTATTACAATATACAGTCGACTCTGGTTATAACGAACCTGTTTGTACCGAAACCTCGTTATACCGAATCATAATTTCCAGAACCGATTTTTTATAAATAATTTCACTGGATATAACGAACTTTTATAATAAAACACTATATCTTTTATAATAAAACACTATATAACGCATCCGAACCAAACTTAACCAGCCCCTATATATCAGCTATATAATAACTTTATACTTTCTATAACGAACGGTCATGTGACTATATAGTAGTCCAGGCCAATTTTATAGTGCTGGCAAGAATTACTAGTAATTTTTTCGAAAATTTATGTTAAAAAGAAATTATAATTTTGGCCAGCATTACAAATTTGGCCTAAATTGCCTATAAAGAAAACTAGTTCGGTATATTATATAACGAATTCACAATATACCGAACTAAACCTCCTGGAACGGAGGGTTCGTTATATCCAGAGTTGACTGTAGTCATATACTCATATACATGTACTGAATGTATAATAACAATTAAATCTTGCGTCATAAATATATATAATATTGGATAGTGTAAATATAGTTTCAAAGGCACAATATTTTTAAAATAATAAGAAATCGAAAAAATATAGATAGATTTCAAACAAAAAAAAAACTTCGGCTCTTATATTAAATAGTATAAAAATACAATGAAAATCACCTCGCCAATATTTATGATTTAATATTAATTTGAAATACTTCATATTCTTCAATAGAAAAATGATCGAAAGTATTTCTGATCTGCTTTTCATAAAAAAATTTTTTACAAAAATTGGTATTATTACAAAAAGAATCACTAGCGTAAAGGCCTCCAAATACCGTGAGGTCACCAATACCAAATGATGGACCGTAATATGAAAAATAATTTACGGCATAGCTTTCATCTACTACTCGACTCAAAATATAATCATTAATATCTTCCTTAAAAGAAAATATGAAACTATTTTTAGTTTTACCATAATGTTTGATCGTACTTTTAGATTTAGAATCCCATTTAATCGGATTATATCCTCCAAGAATTTCATTACTGTTTTTTACTTCAATAATTGTTACAGTATGAGATCGATTATCACAAATTTCATGGAACTTTTTAAATGTAAATCCGTCACGAGATCCTCGAAGAATTAATTCGAATTTATACAAATTGTTCAACTTGTTCGTGTTCTCTAATCTATCAATCCATTTTGAGATTAATTCAACATGTTGATTTGTAATGATTTTTGAATCAATATTCTCATTAGAATCAATTTCTTTGATTTCTTTGATTTTTCTATTTGATGGTCTATAATCATGATTAAGAAAAGTTTTCAATAGATCATTATATAATTCTTCCGGTAAAACTTTTCGATAAGGAAATACACTATCCAAAAATTCTTTTGAGGTCAAATTATAAAATTTAATAAAAGAAATACATTGTTGTAAGGTATTCTTCAAAGTATTATAATTGTCGTTTGAATAGCTTGAAGGGTCTGAAGAAAGTTCAGGATTTTGACCAATACCCCATTTAAGAACATGTTCCCAAATTTGAACTTCCCTCATTTGAAGATTATCATGTTGAATAAGAGAGATTAATAAATTTTCTGAAATTGAAGTAAAATCAGTTGAATTAAAAATTTTTTCTGATTGTTTGGATATTAACTCTGTACAAAAATTTTGAAGTTCTGAGAAAGAATCATTTTCAAAGTACGTTCGAAATATAAAATTAAAATTTTGTTCAATCCAGTCTGCTTTGTACTTAATTAAAAATAATTGAGTATTCGGAATTAATTCTTGAAGACCTAGTTCATTTGCGGCAATTAAAATTTTAACGATATCAGAAGCATCATATTCTTTATAAAGAATTATTCCTCCATAGATATACCTAAAATGAAAACGTTTATAAAATCATACAAAACAAATAATTGTTCACTAAATAATTTAAATATTGTTACCTTAAAATTATTTGAAAAATTTCAGGTAAAATGTTTGGTAATTTTATATGTGTTAAAGTCCCGTCACTTTTCTTTTTATTAGTTGACAAAATTCTTCTCAAATGAAAAGAACGATAATTTAAAATAGCTATATGAGCACGAAATATTTTTACGTGAGGATCATCACCAACTTCAATTGTAATATCATAATATTCATCATCATCTAATATTTCAAGTAAATTTTGAGATAATTTTTGTAAATATACATAACGATCATTACGAAAACGAACCATTATAATTGAAATATGGTGCCGGAACTCTATACTCAAAAATAAAATTGTGATAATTATAAATCTTTCAACACTTTAATAAAATAGAATTTCAAAGAAATAAACCGGTAACTTTGTTCTACAAGACAAGTACTATTAAATTACCGGTCAGATTTTCAAAAAAATATCTACATAAAAAGCTATAAGCGTTTGAAATTTGGTTATTTTTATATGATTGGCTCAAATTTGAAACAAAAAGTCACATAAATGCATTTATTTTATGAGAATTTACATAAATCGTATTGACATTTAATTATTTTAAGGCTTAAAATGGCTTAAAATGTCCTTAATTTACTTAAAAGTCAAAATTCAACCCCATTTTAGCTTGATTGTTCTTAAATAAATACTACTTTCTGCTTTATTCTTTAGCCGATTTCCTTTTTTTTCCTTTTTTGTACATGCTCGTATCTGTTTTTTCTATTTTTTGTCCAAAATTGTGAGTTTTTATTGGCTATTATGCTTCTCACGTGATAAATTGAAAATTTGAACCATTTTTGAGTATAGAGTTCCGGCACCATAGAAAAATAAAAAATAAAGTTGTTGTAGATCATGTAGATCATATATGTATTTGAATATATACTAAAGTAGTATCACCAGAGTCGGATATAATAAAACCCGATTCCGATTACGCATCAATAGATAGATGAGATTCCGATGTTCACATTAACGAAAATCTTTTTCTACCTATCATAAATTTCAATCGCACTGACTTTGTGTTTAGACGCATAATACATTAGACAATTTACAGTCTTATATATATGATTCGATAATACATCAGAAAAATTATACAAGTAAGTTGTTATCTTAATCTTACAGTGTTTAAGAAATCCGTTCAAAAATATTATGGTAATTTTTTCTATGAAATCTATTCACTAATATTCATTATGTATTTATTATAACTTGTTGATGATTTTGTATATATCTTTCTTTTGGTATTTTGGCAATTTGAATATATACCAATTAAAAAACACATATATCGGTTATCTACTAGTTTCATGAATGGTTTTTAACGGTGTACTTACTGTATGATAAATCAAGTTTGTAGAATTAATTATTTTGGGTAACCAGACTTTTCGCCGAAGGCCAAAGCCATTTCGCCGAAAAATTATTTATTCCATTTGGTTAGTTTATTGTTTTTATACTAAATACATAAAGAAATGTTTTCTAGAAAATCTTTGAATTAGCTGATTTTATTAAATTTATCTCGTTGTTTATAATATATCAATAGTCTTTTTTTTATTTACTTTTTCGTGAGTAAATGAAATGTTTTCAAGAAAATAAAGTATTTATTTATTTCTTAATAATTAATATCAGTTACTTGAATGTTAAAGTGATAATATCTGGAAAAAAAAAAAATCTCTAAAAATAATTTATTTAATATTTATTTTCATTGCTACCATTTTTCGGCGAAATCATAAGTAAAAAATTTTCAAAAATAATTAAATATCTATACCTTTTATCGCTGTTTTCAGAATTCTTCTACCTCATGCAAATTACTTAATAAAATAAAATTATAAGATTACAGGGTGATTTATACCAGACAATAACCGGACAATTTGTCCGGTAATCGATCTGTAATTATAATCACCCAGCAATCACAACGTACACAGAAATCTGAAAATTGCAATAATTATTTTGATCGGTTATCCTATATAAATCTGAAAAACTTCATATTCTTCTACAGCAAAATCAACTTCAGCTTCTCTGATTTGTTTTTCATAAGATTTATTTATACAATAATTAGAACAATTACTAAAAGAATATTCAGGATTTAAAAGGTCTCCATATATTGTAAGGTCTCCACGACCAAATGATGGTCCATCATAAAGAGAATTATTTATAGCGTACTTTTCATCCTTCACCCGACTTAATATATGGTTTTTAATATCTTTCTTATTATTAAAAGAAAATATGAAACTATCTGTAGTCTTACTATATTCATTAGAAAATGCTTTACTGCACATTTTGGATTTCCACATAATTGGATTGTACCCTCCGAGAATTTCCTCACTGCTTTTTACTTTGATAATTGATACAGTATGAGATTTATTATTACAAATTTCATGAAAATTTTCGGCCGTAAATCCATCACGAGACGAAGAATTAATTTAAATTCGTATGAATTTTTCAATTCATCTGTAAACTCTAGTCTGTCAATCCATTTGGAAATTAATTCAGCATGTTAAATTGTAATGATTTTTGAATCTATGTATTTTAAACCAATTTCTTTAGTTTCTTTGATTGTCTGTGGCACCGACTTTTTACTTGGTTTATAATCATTATCCAAAAAACATTTAATCAAATTTTCGTGTATCTCTTCAGGAATAATCTTTTTATATGGATACACTTTATTCAAGAATTCTTTAGAAGTAAATTCAGTAAATTTAATGAAAGGAATTATCTGTTGTACAGTATTTTTTAAGGCATTAAAATCATCGTTTGAATAATTTGAAGAATCCGAGGAAAGTTCAGGATTCTGAGCAATACCCCATTTAAGCACATGTTCCCAAATTTTAACTTCACTCATTTGAACATTATCAAGTTGAATAAGAGAGATTAAACTTTTTCCTGAAATTGAAGTAAAATCGGGTGAATTAAAAATTTTTTCCGGTTGTTTAGACATTAACTCCGTACAAAAATTTTGGAGTTCTGAGAAAGAATTATTTTCAAAGCTCGTTCGATATATCAAGTTAAAATTTTGCTCAATCCAGTTTGTTTTGCTCTTAATCAAGAATAATTGAATATTCGGAATTAATTCTTGAAGTCCTAATTCACTTGCAGCAACTAAAATTTTAACGATATTAGAAGTATCATATTCTTCTAAAGTAAGTTTTCCCCCATAAATATACCTAAAATGAATCCGTTTAAAAATTAAATAAAAAAGAAAAATAATTTACTTATTTAGTTAATTTAATAATTCCTACCTTAAAATTGTTTGAAAAATATCAGGTAAAATATTTGGTAATTTTATATGTATTAAGGTTCCATCACTTTTCTTTTTATTAGTTGACAAAATTCTTCTCAAGTAAGGGGAACGATAATTTAAAATAACTATATGAGCACGAAATACTTTTACGTAAGGGTCATTACCAACTTCAATTGTAACATCATAATATTCTTCGTCATCTAATATTTCAAGTAAATTTTGTGATAATTTTTGAAAATATACATTACGAACCATTATATTAAAATGAAATAGAAAAAATAAAGTTAATTGTGCAGATCGTATGTGTATTTTCACCATACTCGGATATAATAAAATCCGAATCACTTTCAAAAATAATACTAACTCTTTATATATTATATGACTCAAGAATACAGCAGATATACAAGTAAGTTATCTTAATCTTATTATTTAAGGAATCAGTTTAAAAATATTATAATAATTTTTCTATGAAAATTTTATTGATACTAGATATCAATTAAAAATTTTCGCGAATGATATTTAAATTTATAGAATTTATTATCTTGACTCGTTTGGTATTTAATTCAAAAAATTTATATCGATTAATTATTGCAGTATGGGATAAAAGTGAGTTTAATCGAACAAATAAGAAAAAAATATGTGGTTATTGCAATCATCGATGACCGGTATGTGTTTATTTATTCTTTTTTCTCATCATCATCTGTCAATATATTAAATTTTTTATAATAAAAATTTGTATAAGACTAATTTTAACCCGGGGTGATTTAACCTGGGCGATTTAACCTACTAATAAGTATATAAGTTTGCCCAAATTTAAACATAAGAGTCATTGTCAAAAAATGTCCAAATAAATAAAATCTATGTAAAGTGAAATGAATAAAAAAAAAAATAATCGGCAAAAAATCATGTAAAATATAAAAATATAAATTTTTAGGGGGGCGATTTAACCCATGTTATTTAACCCAGGGACAAGTTAGCAAAATTCTAAAAATTTAATTACTAATTTGATCAAATTAGACTAAAGTCAGATTCAGATATATACACTATTTTATTGCACCTATACTATAAATATTGGTAGGTTTCTTTTCTTTCTTTTCTTCATCTTTCCATATTGTAGTTAGTTGGTGGTTTTGTTTATCTATTAATCTATTAAATATTTTTTCTCACTCTTACGTATAAACATAGCAGCACAGAAACTCTGTTACACATTAATGTTTATTAGATTAAAATAATTTCATGAATGTTAATATCACATATAATCAAATATTATTTCATTCATTACTACTGTATCCTTCCACTTTATTAATAAAATTCGCACGACATTTTTTTTTAAAAAAAATATACTGAAACTCTGTGAATACGATTTAATTCTAAAACCGGAGAAAAATATATTTTCGGAATAAACATGTTAATTTATATATAAATTAATAAATCAAATGAAAACAAATTGACAAAGTAACAAACTAATACAACTAATACAAAATTTTTAATGCTTAACAATACTATAAATAATAATTTTCCAGAAATAATTTTATATCACTCAAAATTATTTTGATTATTTAAGTAACTATAATCTGGAAAATTTCATATTCTTCTATGGCAAATTTATCACCAGTTTCTCTTATCTGTTTTTCATAGGATGATCTTTTACAATAATTACCATAATCATGAAAAAAGTCTCCACAAATTACAAGGTCAGATATACCAAATGATGGCCCCAATGAAATACTATTATCTATGGCGTAATTTTCATTTTCCACCCGGCTTAAGATATGATTTTTAATATCAACCTTATTATTAAAAGAAAATATGAAACTATCTTTAGTTTTACTATAATCATAATCGCTAAAATCGTAGTCTCTAGATTCCCACATAATTGGATTGTACCCTCCAAGAATTTCATCACTGTTTTTTACTTTGATAATTGATACAGTATGAGATTTATCATCACAAATTTCATGAAATTTTTCAGGCGTAAATCCATCACGAGATCCACGAAAAATTAATTTGAAATCATATGAATTTTTCAATTCATCTGTAATGTCTAATCTATCAATCCATTTTGAGATCAATTCAGCATGTTGAATTGTAATGATTTTTGAGTCTATATTTTTTAGACTAATTTTTTTAGTTTCATTGATCGTCCGTTGTCCTGACTTTTTACTTGGTTTATAATCATTGTCCAAAAAACAGCTAATCAAATTTTCATGTAGGTCTTCAGGAATAATCTTTTTATATGGGTACACCTTATTCAAGAATTCTTTAGAAGTAAATTCAGTAAAATTAATAAAAGGGATAAACTGTTGTAAAGTATTTTTTAAAACATTAAAATCATCGTTTGAATAATTTGAAGGGTCCGAAGAAAGTTCAGGATTCTGAGCAATACCCCATTTAAGCACATGTTCCCAAATTTGAACTTCACTCATTTGAACTTTATCTAGTTGGATAAGAGAGATTAAAACTTTTTCTGAAATTGAAGTAAAATCAGGTGAATTAAAAATTTTATCCGGTTGTTTGGAAATTAATTCTGTGCAAAACTTTTGAAGGTCCAAGAAAGAGTCATTTTCAAAGCTTGTTTGATATATCGAGTTAAAATTTTGTTCTATCCATTTTGTTTTGTTTTTAATCAAGAATGATTGCAAATGGGGAATTAATTCTTGAAGACTTAGTTCACTAGCAGCAACCAAAATTTTAACGACATACGAAGTATCATATTCTTCTAAAGTAAGTTCTCCCCCATAAATATACCTAAAATAAAAAACCGTCGATAAAATTATAAATATAAATTATAAACAATAACTTGTCTACAACAATTAATTAAATACCTTAAGATTATTTGAAAAATTTCGGGTAAAATACTTGGTAATTTAATATGCGTTAAAGTTCCATCATTTTTCCTTTTGTTAGTTGACAAAATTCTTCTCAAGTAAGGAGAACGATAATTTAAGATAACCATATGGGCACGAAATACTTTTACGTAAGGATCGTTACCAACTTCAATTGTAACATCATAATATTCTTCGTCGTCTAAAATTTCGAGTAAATTTTGGGATAATTTTGATAAAAGTAGTTCATTAGCCATTATATAAGTCAAAAAAACGCTAAAAAGAATAATTTTTCTTTTTATATTGTTGTAGATCATTTCAAATTAGGGATGGCACTTGGTTCGGTTAAACGATATAACCGATTCGGATCTACAGAGTGACTCGAACCGGTTTTCTAAATGATATACTTAGGGTGCTATTTAAATGACATTAATTTCTATTGATTAAAAATAATAATATAACTTAGTATTTTACTATTTTACTACTACTTTAACTATAACAAATTAAGATACGGTAGCGTATGAGCACTTTTTAAATAAAAACGTTGAGAGTAATTAGCTACTCGAATTAGATAATTCTGACGATTAAATTCGGTTTTACTGTATGTTAGTGCTGAACCATTTAAGACTTGTGTTTAAGAATGAAATTTACTTTGACTGCGCAGTATCCCAGTGCATAGTTACAATTTGAAAACTTAAAATAGTGTATTATTTTTTTGTGTAGAAATAATGTCTTTTGAAGAAACATCTTTCCATAAAAAAAAATAATTTTTAAAAATTTGTGCATTCCAACAACCAATAATTTATTATATTCATTTTATACCTCAAGAGAAGTATATTTTATTGGAATGGGGATAAAATAGAATAGAGGTGGAAGTAGAAATAGATGTTAAATGATAAGTTTATATTAATGAAATGAAAAAAATCTGGAATTTGATTAAATCATTTATTTATATTATAACTAAAAAAGATATTGATGTAAAAAAAAAAGCCTTTAATAATGAAATTTTGATATAATTAAAATTTTCAAATTTTTTAAAAATTTTTAAAAGAGTAAAAACTCTCTCAAATTTTGCGATCTTAAATGACAACATAAAATAGAAAAATTGAAACGCTTTAAACTTACATTTTTTTTACAAACATTATTTCAATTATTAAATATTATTTAATTTATAAGTATTTATTTATTTCAATTTATTAATCAAGTAATTTAATAAATGAATATAATTAATTATACATGTATAAACAAGTCAATATATTTTCAATTTTTTGTACATAAAAAAATGATTAATGAATTTTATACACGTTTCTTAATAATCGACCGTGATTTTTTATGGGTGATGTTTATTTAAAAGGATAAACTAAAAAGTCTATCAGTAGTTTAAAATTGTATACGGGACTGCTTCCCATCTAATAACACAAGACTAAGTCATGAAATCTAGTTTGTTTGGAACCATCAAAAAAAGGTCTTAAGTGGTTAACCAAAGGGTATTAACCGGTTAAAATTAATAGCTTAGGAATTTTTGTCCTAATAAATGTATAATAATTAATAAATTTAATAATATAAATTTAACACACAGTAAGATCAATTTTTATCACAAATGAATTTAAAAATAGATATTCTACACTTTGAACAATTATCTCACATGAACAATCTACGACTTCCATATCTGTTATTATAAAATAAACTCTTAGTACACATATTAAGAGATCAATTTATTTTATCATGAAAGAAAACACAAAATATTAGCGTAACGGTAAGGATTCACGAAAAAGTATTTCAAAATTTGCTGTTTTAAATATTTTATACAGATCATTCAAATTTTTTGATTCGATATAATTGTGAAAAATAAAATACGTTTAATAACCCAATAGATGATAGATGAGAAGCAAAATTTATACCTACAATAATACTAGTACATAAGTACAGTATTTAACATGACTATTTTAATAGACTAATTTTTATACAAGATAAAATCAAATTAACGATGATTAAAATTTCATTATCATTGCTAAGTGCATAAAATACAAATTTTTTCTTTATTAATAAAAAAATATGAAGAATTTCTATCGTTGATGAAAAATAACCCAAAATATTTTGACCTAATACTTTAATAGGTTAAAAAACATTAAAATTTGATCTGAAATATTTCATATTCTTCTACAAAATATTTATCTACTGTATATCTGATCTTTTTATCATAAGAATTTTTTTTGCAATAACCAGTTCTATTATTAAAGGTTTTAAGGTCTTCCCGACCAAATGATGGTCCAAATGAATAAAAATTATTTAACGCGTGTTTTTCATCCTCCACACGACTTAATATATGATTTTTAATATTAAAAGAAAATATAAAACTATCTTTAGTTTTACTATATTCATTATTGGGAAGTAAAGATTGAAGATCATATTTAGATTGCCATGTAATCGGATTGTATCCTCCTAGAATTTCGTCACTATTCTCTACTTTAATTATTGTTATAGTGTGAGATTTATTATCACAAATTTCATGAAATTTTTCAGCCGTAAATCCATCACGAGATCCTCGAAGAATTAATTCGAATTCATATAAATTTTTCAACTCATCTGTATTTTCTAATCTATCAATCCATTTTGAGATTAATTCAACATGCTGATGCGTAATAATTTTTGAATCAATAATCTTAGCAGAACTGATTTCTCTGATTTCTTTAGTTTCTTTGATTTCCTTTGTTTCTTTAATCTCTTCCGTTTCACTGGTTTCTTTAATTTCTTTAGTTGATGGCCTATAATCATGATCAAGAAAAATTTTCAACAAATCATTATATAATTTGTCTGGCAAAATTTTTCGATAAGGAAATATATTGTCCAAAAATTCTTTTGATGACAAATTATAAAATTTAATAAAAGGCATGCAATTTTGCAAGGTATTCTTTAGTTTGTTATAATCATCATTTGAATAGTCTGAAAGATCTGAAGAAAGTTCAGGATTCTGAGCAATACCCCATTTAAGAACATGTTCCCAAACCTGAACTTCACTAATTTGAAGATTATCATGTTGAATAAGAGAGATTAATGAATTTTCTGAAATTGAAATAAAATCAGATGAATTAAAAATTTTCTCCGGTCGTTGAGACATTAAATTAATACAAAAATTTTGAAGTTCTAAGAAAGAATCGCTTTCAAAGCTCGTTCGATATATCATGTTAAAATTTTGTTCAATCCAGTTCCTTTTTCTTTTAATCAAAAATGATTGTATATCTGGAATTACTTCTTGAAGACCTAGTTCATTTGCCGTAACTAAAAGTTTAACGATATCGAAAGCATCATATTCTTTCAATAAAAGTATTCCTCCGTAGATATACCTAAAATGAAAATAATTAAAATAAAAATAAAATAATGTATTTGTTTTATTAATTAAAATTAAAAAATTTCTTAGTTACCTTAAAATTATTTGAAAAATTTCGGGTAAAATGTTTGGTAATTTTATATGTGTCAAATTTCCATCACTTTTCTTTTTATTAGTTGATAAAATTTTTTTCAAATGAGGAGAACGATAACTTAAAATAACTATATGAGCACGAAATACTTTTGTGTGAGGGTCATCACCGACTTCTATTGTAACATCATGATATTCGTCGTCATCCAATACTTCAAGTAAATTTTGAGATAATTTTTGTAAATGTTGTGGATATAAATTGCGATTATTACGAATACGATTACGATTACGAACCATTATAATTTAAAGAAAAAAATGGAGTTAAAATTTTTGTAGATCATATTTCATCGTATATTCATTTATACACAAAAACAGTCATGTGGTCACACAAAATCCTTAACAATTTAGCCACGACAATTTTGGGAAACTTTGTGAAAAAAAAAAAAAAAAAAAAAAAATATCAAAAATATTAATTTATGGCATATTGATAAACTTTGTTACCAAAAAATGAAAATAAACTTATACATTTTTATTATTTAATAATAATTTTGTATCTCTTAACAATTATTTTGATCGATTATCCTGACATAATCTGAAAAACTTCATAGTCTTCTACAGCAAAATTATCTTCAGTTTCCCTAATCGGTTTTTCATAAGATAATTGTGTACAAGAATTTGTACAATTATTAAAAGATCGTCTAGAGCCCCCACGTATTTTAAGATCCTTACGACCAAATGATGGTCCACATATAAGATAATTATCTATAGCGTACTTTTCATCCTCCACTCGACTTAATATGTGATTTTTAATATCTCTCTTATTTTTAAAAGAAAATATGAAACTATCCTTAGTTTTACTATATTCAGCAAAGTTTACTGTGCTTGCTTTAGATTCCCAAATAATCGGGTTGTACCCTCCGAGAATTTCATCACTATCTTTTACTTTAATAATTGCTACAGTATGAGATTTGTTATTACAAATTTCATGAAATTTTTCAGGCATAAACCCATCACGAGATCCACGAAAGATTAATTTGAATTTATATAAATTTTCTAATTTGTCTTCGTACTCTAATCCATCAACCCATTTTGAGATTAATTCAACATGTTGATGCATAATAATTTTTGAATTAATACTCTTATTAGAATTAATTCCTTCAATTTTTTCGATTCCTTCGGTTTCTTTTATTTCCTTTGATTCTTTAATTACTTTTTTTTCCTTGGCTTCTTTGACCGATGGTCTATAATCATGATCAAGAAAAATTTTCAATAGATCCATATATAATTCTTCTGGAAAAAGTTTTTGATAAGGAAGAATATTATCCAAAAATTCTCTTGAGGTTAAATTATAAAATTTAATAAAAGGAATACAATGTATCAAGGTATCCTTTAGAATGCTATAATCATCATTTGAGTAAGTCGTAAGATCTGAAGGAAGTTCAGAATTTTGAGCAATACCCCATTTAAGAACATGTTGCCAAACCTGAACATCACTCATTTGAAGATTTTCATTTTGAATAATAGAGATCAAAGCTTTTTCTGAAATTGAAGTAAAATCGGATGAATTAAAAATTTTTTCAGGTTGTTTAGACATTAACTCCGTACAAAAATTTTGAAGTTCTGAGAAAGAATCATTTTCAAAACTCGTTCGATATATCAAATTAAAATTTTTTTCAATCCAATTCATTTCGTGCATAATCAAAAATAATTGTGTATTCGGAATTAATTCTTCAAGATTTAACTCATTTGCGGCAACTAAAATTTTAACGATATCGGAAGCATCATATTCTTTCAAAGAAATTATTCCTCCATAAATATATCTTAAAATGAAATCAACGATTATAAAATTAATATAATAAAATAATAATAATAATAATAATGTATTTATTTTTTTTTAATTAAGAAAATTTTCTTACCTTAAAATTATTTGAAAAATTTCAGGTGAAATGTTTGGTAATTTTATATGCGGCAAATTTTCATCACTTTTCTTTTCATCATTAGTTGACAAAATTTTTCGAAAATAAGGAGAACGATAATTTAAAATAATTGAATGAGCATGAAACGTTTTTACGTAAGGATCATCACCGACTTCAATTGTAACATCATGATGTCCATCATCATTCAATATTTCAAGTAAATTTTGAGATAATTTTTGTAAATATACATTATCGGTAGCATCCATAATTGAAATAGAAAAGTAAAAATCAATTGTTGTAGATCGTATTCATCGTATATTTCATTTATATGCACAAAACTAGTCATATGGTCACACGAAATTCTTTTAATTTTTAGCCATGATTATTTTGGGTAAAGTTTGTGATCGCCATATACTAATTATTATGATCGATTGTCTTGTCCTGAAAACCATAGCAACATTATCTCAGTTCTCTGATCTGTTTTTCATAAGATAATCTTTTACATTTACTAGTACAATTATTAAAAGAGTGTTTAGAGCGTCGTATTCAAATATAAGACAATTATCTATAGCGTACTTTCATCCTCAACTTTAGGGTTATGGTTAGGGTTAGGGTTATGCTATGGAATTTCTAATATAAATTGTAAGTATTTTAATTATATAAGCATTAAATATAGTAATATTATGAAGTTATATGTTAAATATAGAAAACGGATTTTACAATAAAAATTGCTTTATAATGATCTATTTTTTTTTTTTTGTGTTTTTTTTAGTATATGACTATTAATATCTTTCATTCTTTCTCATTTGATAAAAGAAAACATGAAACTATCTTTAGTTATATCATATATATCATCGGGTTTGTTGCAAATTCTTATTTCCCACATAATTGGATTGTACCCTCCCAAAATTTCATTACAATATAGTATGAGATTTATTATCACAAATTTCATGAAAATTTTTAGACGTAGATCCACCTTGTACCTGGGATGACGAAAGTACCCGAAATAGTGAAGGATAGCTTGACATTTTAATTATATGTCATATATACATATATATATATTTTACGAGCTATGGGTCTGTAATTACTACGAACTGTGAGTCAGCGATGTTTCAAGGATCAAATGCAATTATGAAAAAAATTTATCAATAAAAATGAGGATGCCGATCAACAGGATCATGGGATCCTTCAAATTATTCAAATGATATAAAATTTTAAGGAATACCTTTGCAAAAATTTATTCCTTTTACTAAATTTCATAATTTGATCTCAAAAGAATTTTGGATTATCAAAAATTTTTACCAGAAGAATTATTTATTGATCTATTGAAAATTTTCCTTGATCATAAACCAACCAATTAAAGAAATCAAAAGAATCAGAGAAACAAAAGAAACAAAAGAGATTAAAGAAACAAAGAAACTGTAGAATCAGAGAAATCCGAGAAAATAGTTCTATAAAGAATATTAAATCATTACGTATCAACATGTTCAAAATGGATTGATATATTAGAGAATACGGACAAATTGAACAATTTATATGAATTCAAATTAATTCTCCGAGGTGGATTTGAGAAAAATTCACCACTTGTTAGGTATCCAAAAAGTCTTTTATTTGTATTATACTTACTTTTTTTATTTCACTTTTGCAGACCCTATAAAAAATATTGTCCAAACACCGTTCGGTTTTTTGTTCGGAAAATAGACCCCGTTCCGAACATTTACTTGACATTTATTGGACATTCATCATGGTATTGTACGTTTTTTATGTGGTTAAAAATTCTCAATCTTCGCATCTTGTATTAAATATTGTAAAATAGCGTGCGAGTGTCCGGAAAAATTGACCCCATCCCGAATATTTATCGGATAAACATTTTTTATAGGGAGAAGATATGGCTGTTTTATTTTAGGTAACGTAGTCAGCTTGTCAACTGATGATTTTAAAGGCCACAAGAAAACGATTCTTTAACAACTTTTTAGTGATCAGCAATAGACTTATTTTCTACTGGTAATGATAGTACTGAATATTCTAATTGCTTTAATTGTTCCAGGGTTGAAATATTCATACGCATCATTGGTTCGCTGCAAGAACAACACTATATCGAAAAACATCATATTCTGGAGTTAATTTCTATTCCACATGTACAATATAAAAGATATTGAAGACTGCTGCAATAGACAAACGACCGAATTCAATAATATTCAATGGAACCTTCGCTATCGCTTTTATCAATAAATTTAAAAGATTATTATTTTTCATTAATGACAATTTTCCCGCAAATTTAGATAATAATCGTGTGTTATGTAACAAGCTATTGCAATGGCATATTTTATATAACTTACAACTAGAATAACTTACACTATCGGTAACTTACATATAGAATAACTTACAGAATATACGCGTTGAAGATACTGTAGGTATGAATAGACTCGCTGTTGAAAGATGGATTTTATGGTTTAGTTTATAGTTAATATTAGCTAAGTGAGGCGGCAATATTGTTAATTCTGTTATTAGCACTTATTATTTGCATTTACTGTTATCGTTATATATTATTTGTTATATTTAAATAAAGTCGACATACCTTAAATTTCCGAGTCTATCATAAACTATTCGATAAACTATTTCTGCTACTGTCACGTCATCTGACGCAGACCTGAAAGTAATAATTGCTATATACCGACTCTGGTGAAGGATGTATTTGAAAAGTAGCCCAAAAAATAGATTATCTATAATTAATAGTGAAGAGAATAATCTTTATAATGTAACCGGAGAACAACATGACTTGCCGTTAATCCAGATGCTTGGAAAAGTTTTATTTTTCTTGTTTATCGCACCAGTTATCTATTTATTTCTGATATCTACTACAGTACATCATCCAACAGGAAATTTTTTAAGCGTAACCATGCGACGAGGTGTGTTTACGTAAATTTGTGTAAATATGCGTAACTTGTAAGCTTGTGTAAATTTCTTATGAAAATTTACGTGAACTTGTGTAAACTTACCCCATCGCAGGACTACGAATTCTTTACATCTAAGATAATTTCCGTGTCATTTCTTTATTTTCTCTGCTCAGACTCTTTTTTGCGTTGGAACAGCTTTGTCATTTAGAGTACTTGTCGTCTTGCCGCATCGTCATGAATGTGCACAAGTATTCATACATGTATCAAGTTTTCCGTATATTAGTTCAAGGAATCTTGATACGGCATAAAAAATTATAAGTTAAATGGATACATTTCGTATATTTCGTATTTTTTAATGCCGTGCGTACTGGTTTTCTAGTTAAACGTTTTTTATTTTAGCATTCAGTCATGTCATAATAAGCATAAAATTTAGGAAAGATGAGTGAAAACATTGACTTTAGTGAAATTATAATAATTTATTAACATGGTTTATAAATTATAAAATATATATAAATAAGCTATTTTTTTTAAAACGTTCTATATTGAAAAAAAGTAGAATTTAGAACTTTATATTTAAAAAAAAATCCTAAACAGACATGGATTATCAAATTCCAAACATGTTATAATGTATTTCAAAAATAAAAAATGTTATAATAGTGAACTCATTAATATTAATATATATGAAACGATTTTAATAATAAATATGGGAGATCTGTTTTTTATCGACGCAACACAAAATTTATGTGAAACGAATCAAATTGATTTATTCGCATATGCAATATAAATGATACAAACAGTGAGGTATATGAATTTTTAAAATTTATCTCCGCAGCAGATTATAGAATTTATTACAGAGGACCGAAGTTATTTTCTAGGAAACTAATTTTATATTATAAAATTTTTAAATTAATAAATTAACTTCCTTTCAGTTACGGCCATACACAGTGAAAAGCACCGGAACCCGTCCGATCTCCGAAGTTAAGCCACTGATGGCCCAGTCAGTACTACGGTTGGGGACAACGTGGGAATACTGGGTGCTGTAACTTTTTTTTTTGCGTTGAGAATTCTAATTTATAATAGAAAACTTAAACTTTCAAATTTCAGGAACAAGAGGTAGCCTTCTAAATTGAATGTATAAACCGTAATTGCGACGTTCGAAATTTTTAATAATAATCTGTCAATCAAAATGCAATAATTCAAATAATTATGTGACAAAGTATACGACATTTATTTTAATTGTAAAAATAAAGTTCCTTCACCAGTTTCATTAAATTATAATTTGAGAGAAAAATTTAAATTGATTACGTAATTTTAAAAACAATTCTTGAGTTCGCATCGATTTAATAAGATTTATAAAAATTTTGAAATATTAATAATGCGGACGCATTAAAAAAATCATAAATTTTTAATTTATATATATATATATATATACATATATATATATTTCAAAATATTACTTACGTCTTGCGCCTCACAATAATAAATCTACGAGTAATAATAAATCCTTGATTGTTAATACTATTTACATATTTTTATATTTTTATATATTAGTAATTTTTCATTATAATTTATATATACAACTCTAAAAGATAAAATAAAAATAAAAAAAAATAAAAAATAAAAAACCAAGATGAGAATAATTACTAATTTGAAAATAAGAAAAATCCTTTACTTCCCAACTCGCTAGTAATTTTATAACGTGCAGCGTCACCTAAAAGTAGTGCAATACTAGGAACACTCGCGAAGGAGTTCTAAAAAACGGATTCAAACGTAAAGATCATTTTGCCATTGCCACAAAGTCAAACCATAGGCGCAGTAAATTTTGCGTTCAAACCTTGCAGATCTCTGACTACTTTGCGTAAATCGACAAATAAAATATGATGACTAATATTTTATCATTTTTTTAGTAGCAAAAATATGACTAACGACTAACGTCGAATGGCTGGAAATTTTCTGCGTCTGCTGCGGAAAAAGAATTTACTACATTATTACGTAATCATTTGAAATCCCATAATTCTCATTTTCTTGAATTTTGATATAAAATAACATCGTAATGCGCCAAGGTTTTGTTACTTATCCTCTCTTGCCTATTGGCTAAGATCAAGTGTAGTATCTGTTATTTTCAGTATAATATCTGAAACTTTACACACAGGAGTTCCTTGGCTTGCCAATACTCCCTCATGAGTGTCCCTATTATTGCACTACCTCTAGGCGACGCTCACATTTTAAAATTACTAGCGGGTTGGGAAGTGAAAGGGTGTTACTGTACATATTAATCATAGACATTTTTTTAACAATACATATGTCATAGGTGTTCGCCATTTACGACGTACAGTATCTTTTCAATTAAAAAACTATACGTAATCAATTTAACTTTTTTATTTTATTCATAACTTTTTTGTATTATATTATTTTAAATATCAATTAGATTCGTACCGTGAAGAGAAGCGGATCGAGATGCTTTAAATTTTTTTCAATCATCTATCACGCATACGCATCTTTGAGTCAGTTAAATACCCTAAGCGTACTTTACAGCCGAAAAGTACAGCTTCTTTTTAACTTGATAAGTGCACAATACTTCCATGTCACTTTGTCTAGTACTTTAAACTAATTTAGAATTTATCGACTTTATCTAACAACTAGTATAAGATAAATAAATTATCGATATAATTAATACTGAGTGGTGTACCACGTAATGTCTAAATTTAATTTAGGTACTTTGAGATTCTAATCTTTTTACAAGTTTTTACGATTAAAGTCATCATAGCCTAATTCATAATATAAAATTATAGACGCCAACAGCCTCGTCTTTCGTAAATTTTCAGTTTGTAAGTAATTATTGGTGTATTAATTGTTTTAGATAATAATTTTCTTTATTCCTGGAATATTTCAGGACCTGGCTACCAATGCCAAAAGCTCCAAACCGCCAGCAACCGTTCCCTACCTAAACATTCTAAATGAAAAATATTAATTTTATTTAACAAAATGTAAATACTTAAAGGAATTATTAATTAAAAAAAATTAATCAATCATCGTTAGATCAAACTACTAAAATAGATCATTTGACCTATATGGTGATAACACTGACGTTTTTGTTAGCCACTCGGAATTTGAAACAGTCGCGTTATAATAATAAAATAGTAATAAGTTTTACTTTTTTTTTGTTTACATGTAAACTCCTCGAAGTTATTGTTTACCATATTTATTATAAAAATCCACTGACTATTTTATATGTAAACTAATTGCTTTATATATATAAACAATATTAATAGTTTTTATGAATAATCTCTCGGAGAACTTTAGTACAAAAACATTTTTTAAACATGAAAGAAATAAATATTGAAACAATAAACTATCATTTCATTTCAACTTTGCATTATCAAGATACATTTATATTAAAAAAAATCTAGATTTTAATAGACTTTTTTTTTACAAATGATATTGTATTTTGGAGACTTTCATTAGAGTGGTAAGTGTAGGTTTACTGTGGATGCAGAGTTCTTGGTGGGATTATCCTCTCCTCTGTTATGTTCAAATTCTTTAGACAAAAAGTGATTCTAACACAATGCATGGGTGTATTAAGTTGTTCTCTCTCTGAAAGATGACCTCTAAGTCACTGAGTGTGAACTTTATGCTTACTACTTTGATTGTTATTAGCAATGTCTGGGATCTCTAATATCCTGATGTTATTAATAATATTGCCTAGGATCTCATATTTTTGTTTTATTATTATTATTAGATTCTGCAAGAAAGTTGGAGTTGATATTAATTCAATGACAAGTTCAGATGTGCACTCTCATTAGATTGGTAAGTTTCAGTAGACGCAGAGTTCTTTGGTGGGATTATACTCTCTTCTGCTATATTTAAATTCTTTTATCTAATTAATTGCCGATTCGTCTAAGAACGGCACTGCGTTACTAATAAAATTCGGGGTTAAATTTGTCGATTTTGTGCTAGAACACAATCTTCAGAAAGGGATATTTTCATAGACGACATATTAACTATAAATAAAAGCCATATGATATACTGAAAAAATACTTGAAAAAAAAGAATTTGCAAAAAAAAATTATACGTTCATATGCAAAATAATGAGTTTACTATGTACGCGCGTCAGATTTACACCTTAAAATGTAAGAAATTTAAATATTTTATTTAACTATATAATGTTATTTACATTACAAACATATATTTTTTGGCTTTCTAAGCTTTTTTTAAAGACTTTTTTTTAAATATTTTTCTTTATAGAACTAGTAAAAAATTGAAGGGTAGTTTTATTTGTGAAAT